CCATTTAACGGTTTATATTAACTTGCCTTGAATTTACTGTATTCCGAATATTAAGTTTGTTTTCCTCAGAATTTCCCGCTTTTCAATCAGAGTGTTAAATTATATAATACCGGTGCCGGAAATACAGAGAGTGTAGCCGGAGATCAGCTGGTTGGAATGTTTAACCATAGAGGCTCATCCCTTATGAAAAACGTTTCAACAACAACCAAATTTATCTCTAGGAAATCTCCCAGAGCCATTGCTCTTTACATATTCTTGCTCTTTGCTTTCTCCATCTTCATTTTTGTCTTCAATGCTGGTAACATTGAGGATGATCAATTCAACCCGATATCCCTCCGGGTCTGTGATCCAATATTTCTTCTGTTTCTGTTAATGGATACTCACTCATAAATGAGGCTTTTCAAAAATGGCTTGCTTCTATAATTCCTTTTTGAGTTATGCAGATAACTGATGAAGAACTTTGGGACCCTCCTTCTAGCCGTGGCTTACGTCCGTGTGCTCATCCTACGAGTAAATATAAACGTAAAAATCAAGAAACATATTACTTCTCTCACTCCTGCGCTCAATTCTCACATAATTTTAGTTTTTATTCTAGTTGTTTAATTGTTTATCTGTTTTGTTTTTAATCGATAATTCTGGTTTTCTCTAATTCCGTTTAATGCTATGTCAGCTTCACTCGGATCTGACCGATATTTAATGGTGAGCTGTAATGGAGGATTGAATCAAATTCGCACTGCGGTATGTTTTCTTATATCTCTTTCTTTTCTTCTTTTGCTTTTGCCTGATCTTTCCGTATATAAGTGTCTAATTACATTCAGGGTCACATTATACGATTAATGATTTGGTATAATTAGGAAATTGATTGTTGTCGAAGATAGTTTTTGCTACCTATCATAGAATTTTCTAAGCCTTTATGGAGTTTATGCAGTTAATAATTGTGCTCATATGGAATAAATAAGCAACAATCCGATCAATTTCAGTTGAAACCAGTGGAGTTCTTTTTCCCAGGGTTAGCCGGTTTTTATTGCTGATATGGAATACATATATTTTAGGTCAGAGCTAACCGCTGGATGCTCAGTACTCTAAGAGTAATATGCATATCAGTTTTTTCACTTTAACTTGGTTTTGGATCTATAACTATTGTTGTCGTAAGCTTTTAACAGTTGGCGCATCACAAAATATTTCTCTCGATGTATAACCTGTTTGACTGACTTGAACTTGTATTTCGCTGAGTACATTTATTAGCTCTACACCCATTGTTGTTTGCTTTCAAGTTTCTTGTGTTTGGTTGAGTGAATTTGTTAGCTCTACATTCCATTAATGTTTTCTTTCAAGTTTCATGGATGTTACATTGTCTTGTAGATATCGGACATGGTGGCTGTGGCATACATAATGACTGCAGTCTTAGTTATTCCAAAGCTGGATACACAATCCTTCTCCCATGACTCTAGGTATTCTCATTTGTTTCCCTCTCAACTCCATCAAAGTCAGTAATTGTTTTGATCTTATTTAGTTTACTGTAATTACTTAAGGTCTCTTATCTTGATTGGAACAGTACATTTTCTGATATATTTGATGAGCATCATTTCATCACAACTTTACAACAAGATGTGAGGATTGTTAGGGAGCTTCCAAAGGAACTGGAACATGTTCCTCGGGCTCAAAAACACTTTACTTCCTGGTCTAATGTGGGTTACTACAAAGAAATGACGCAGCTGTGGAACGAGTATCAGGTATATACTTGTTGGCATTATTTGTTTTTGGGTGTGGCCTGTTTTAGATACCCTCGTAGATGTGATTGATCTGCAGTGATGATGGTGTGCAATCTGTCTAACTTTTTTCAGAATATGATTCACTGTTATGTTTTGCTTAATGCAGTTATACCAAGTAGAAAAGAATGCATTCTTTTTACTGAAATAATTTCTAGGTAGCTTAATATTAAGGCAAAGTTCTTCAAATACTCTCATACAAGTCTTGACAATTGGATAGATACCATGCCTATGTGTGATACAAGCATCATATTTTACTCCAACCCCCCCTCCCACCCCTTCTTTTTAAATTATGGTAAGTCTTAATTCCAAGGATGCTGAACAAGAAACATTTGCAGGTTATCAATGTTGTTGAATCAGATTCTATACTCGCAAACAACGATCTTCCTCTTGATATACAGAGGTTGAGATGTCGTTCTATGTACCATGCTCTCCGCTTCCCTCCCTCCATTGAGAGCTTAGGAAAGGTGAATTGGTACTCTTTGGTGTTTATGCCCCTGTTAATTTACTTCCATGCACAGCAATAAAAGGCATAAGCTTTTGAAATGCAGCAAGAATTTAAGATCTTACAAAAAAATTCATCGTGAAACGCTAGAAAGCACAACAAACAACATTCATGTTTGATTTTTATTATTGATTGATTTAAGAGATCTCTTACGGGACTTCCTTTTTAAATTATGTTCTGAGTATGCATGATGGTGACACCACAGGAGCTGGTAGATCGTCTGAGAACACAGAGTGGAAAATACATTGCAGTTCACTTAAGCTATGAAAAAGACATGCTTGCTTTTACTGGTTGTACTTCTGGTTTGACTGATGTAGAATCTGAAGAGCTGAGAATACTGAGGTGGGAACCTTTCGTTTGTGCTCATGCATTTACTTTAAATCTTAACAGGAATCCTTTTCTTTACTAATTTGTCTTATTGAAAACAAGACGTTTAACCATGTAACCTGTATGAATAAACTAACTTGATAACAGTCTCAATATACAGACTTCAAAAATGTGTATTAAATTCATTTAAATTATGGAAAAACTTAGGACCCTTCACCTTGTGCTTGATATGCTTTTAGTTATGCTTTGTTAGTTAAATTTACTAGAAAATGGGGAAGAATGTGACTAAATTGACCAATTTTAGCACATAAGAAGTCATCTTTTTGGTGCTTAGGTATTTGTGATTTTTACTTATACTGTTCTTTCCAGGGAGAACACAAAAGATTGGAAGGTTAAAGATATAAACCCTACTGAACAGAGAAAAGGTGGATTTTGTCCACTAACCCCCAAAGAAGTGGGAATATTTCTTCGAGCTGTTGGTTATCCTCCATCAACACTAATTTATGTTGCATACGGTGAAATTTACGGTGGTGATGCTCGCCTTTCCGAGCTCAAGTCGTATTTCCCAAATCTAGTTTCCAAGGTTTGCTATTATTATTTTGCTTTTTTATAAATAGTTTGATGTGCATAATCTGCCATGAGGATGTGGTGCCTTCATGATTTGGTGCTTTTGTTGATGACAGGAGAAACTGGCAACAAAGGAAGAGTTGGATGCAGTTTCTAAGCATGCAACTCAAACTGTTGCACTAGATTACATTGTTTCTTTGGAAAGCGATGTGTTTGTTCCATCATCTTCAGATAACATGGCACGAGCTATTGAGGGGCACCGCAGATTCTTTGTCCATCGGAAGACAATCTCCCCAGACAGGTAACAGAATAAAAATATCATTTGTTTTCTTTTAGGAACAGGTTTTCTGTAAGGACATGAGCCATTAATCTTCTCTTCATGTTTTGCTTTCATGTAGTATTCCCAGAAAACCAGTTTATGCCATGAACGTGACTTAATGCAATTCAGTTATCCAAATTGTTTTTCTGACTCATTAATTTACAAAGATGTGTGAAGTGAGCAGTTGAGTCTTCCAGAGGAATTCATCTCTGTGGATGAAGTTTATGTACTTTGTTTTGGTTCCACTAACAAAATATTTTCTTGGAAAATACATAGCATGGCCTTGTCTTGTCTGGTTTGGTCTTGTTAGTTTGTCGAGTTCTCATAATACATGGTGAATGACACCCTATAAGAACATTTTTAAAAAAAATTCCTCGAAAGAACTATCATTCTTATTAAAGCAATTTATACTCTTATCTCAATTTTGTTAATATATGATACAGGAAAGGACTTGCCAAGCTTTTTGATGAGTTGGAAAGAGGAAAACTAAAAATATCCTCATTCTCTGAACATGTGCAGCAGATGCACAAAAACAGGTAGCTATGTTAATCTGTTATCCATGAATTAGACCCATTATACTATTCCTCTCTGATGGACCTAGCACAACTAGGCTGTGGAAATGTAAAGATTAAGTTGTACGGGATGCATAATTAAATATCGAAGGTATCTTATTGCAGTGTTCAATGGAATGACATTTTCTTAATGAATTTCGACATTGTTTGTAACTATATTGTAGAAGAGGATCTCCAAGAAAAAGAAAAGGTCCTGCACCAGGAATGAAAGGAGAAGAACGCTTCAAGACTGAAGAATTCTTCTATGACAATCCATACCATGAGTGTATATGTAGTCCAAAGGGTGTATGAGATATTCGTGGCCTGGTTTGGCTTGCCGTCCGAGTTGCCTGAATGAAAGGATCCCCATTTGTGTGAGCATGGTATGTTAAACCGAGACGGAAGGGGCCCCTGGAATGAGCTCGAGCTATTGTCGCCTTGCTTCTTTTTGATTGACCCTAAGTTCTAAATACATAATCAGAGTTACATCGCATGATGCAGCAGTTAATAGGTAATTGAATTTCTTGAACACTCCCCTTTCTTATAGGATTTGCGTTTCGCTCGCAGGCAAAGCTTGTAGTACATTATTTTTTTAAGACGATTCTCATTTCAGTCCCTGAATTTCATTTCATATAAATTCATTTTTCTCTCGTTTGTTCTCAGTTTTAAAGACATGATAGTTTTCATGTATGACGAGAACACAGATAAGATGCAACCATGATAATTTTGATGTATATATATTTTGAAGGCAACCAAGACAGTTTATATATAATTTAAATCTTTTGGTTCTCCACTGCTATATTCTGGTCTCCATTATACTTTCTGGTTATAGCAATTTTCCTTTTGTCGCATCAGTTTCGTAACAGTGCCAATACTCCTGGTATAACCATAGACAAGTGACTACTTGCAAACCAACCATCCACTAGTACAAATCTTAAAAGATATAAAAATGATGAAAGCTACGTGAAATATTAATGGATAATTGATCAAGTCATTTCAAACAAATAGGCTTTGAAATTCAACTTCCAGTACAAACACGATTAAGGCTAAAGCCACTCTTCATGATGACTGAAATTTATTTGATGAAGTATCTTTCAGGATGATTTAAATTTATTTGATGAAGCTTCCCGTTCTAAACAACGCCGTTCTCTCTGAAATAAACCAAATAAGAAAGCCACCAGCCTTAGGTAGAAACCAAGTGAATGCGGGGGGAAAACAGATATATGCGGTACATATTTGATGAATGCATCAACAAACCAAGATAGAAAACAGGAGAAAATTTGAAAAAAATGAAACCAAGAAGATTTCGATAGATGACTCTGCCAAAACAAGATTCAGTTGATCAAAATCACTCACACTTATGTATAGAGATGACAAAAGGGTATACACCCACATATATTATCAAATGGCTACACATGATTACTTACATCCTATCTGCAAACATCCTCAACAGACCAATATGACTGTTGAAGTAAAAGCTTCTTCAACCAAAAGGGGAAGATAAGACAAACAGAAATAATTGCTCATTCAGTTCATCATCCCAGTCCTCAGAGGATGAGTCAACAGAAACATGCTATCAATAGATAATTGTTACTTGGAGTAGCATTTTATAATATGCAGTATGACTGAATATCTGCAAAGATGACCGTTGACTAGTATGGATTACCACTTGAGCAGTTTCAGTTATTTTTCACTTGAGCATCAGTAATGGATTAACTATAAAACAGTAGATGATTGTTCTAACAAAACACTGACCTTTATACAATTCATTTCTCCTTTATCGAGAATGCCATTTAATATGGGCTATTTTATAGCCATCCGTTATTTTTGGTGAATCTCTTAGTTACAAATAAACAACTAGTTATCTGATGCATATAGCACTTTAAAGAGAAGTTTAAATATGTTGTTTGAGTGGCAAATTTTCAGTTAGTAATGCGTACAGGATTGAGCGGATAGGGCATACATATGCATTTGAGACCAAATCCGAAGTCCAAGTAACAATACTTTAAAAATGACTAAAGCAATAGATTCCAGTTTGATTTTCAGTGATGAAGAAAATGACTCTAAATTGATAGTAAATATAGAACAATCCTACATTATTTCTATCTCATCAAGATTGCCCTAGCAGTCACAAGAATCAACTTTTAAGATTGATAATAGCAAGGAAGTGAAAGAAAAAATCCAAATTCATCATATGGGAAAGGAACAAACTTTTAACCCATTTGGGCAACAATACTTGGGTGTCAACAAATTCATCAATGGACAGTCAAAAAAAAACACTTAAAACTTGAAATATCCATTCCTATACCATAATTATACATATCGATAAGACCATTTTATCTTTAAGTATTCCACCCCAGAAAAAAAAATATATATATATATATATATCATATGTGACATCAATAAAACAGAGTTTGAAGCAAGAAAATAAGCGAAGGAAAGAGTAGTGAGAAACAAACCCGTCTCTCCCAGTAAGGAAGGAAGCAGACAAAATCATAGACAGGAGTAATGGTTGAGACCAGCACAGCGTTGAGGCCAGTGAACATTAATAGAGCTGTCATAGGACGTGTTCTGTGAGGCATCTTTGGTTTATCCTCTGCGAATCACAAAGTTAATAATTTTGTTTATCAGTGACAATATTTGATCAATTTCCAAAATACCCAAAGAAGAAAAACACAAGATAAGTAGACAAGGATAGGGTGTCGGATCATTATATAGCCCGTTAATCCATTTCAAATTGCCATTGAAAAAAAATACAGAGAGAAAATGAAGTACAAGTTTGGGGTTTTGATTTTGAAGGATGAGAAGAAGATTAGAGCAGCATCGAGTTGTACATTTTGGGGTTACCAAGTCGATAATGATATGCATGTTCAGCATTGATTTTTGGATACCCATTAGTGGCCAAAACAACTTCTTCAGCACTTCTTTTTTTTCAGCACCAGTAGATTCTCTTTATTTAACTCATTGGGATAATATCGAAAATAGCTTACAGCTAGAAGAAATCTTCAGGTTCAGTTTAGGGTTTCAAAATTTACCTTATTTAATTTCCTGGTGTGTCAGAAACTTGAAGGCAAGAGAAGGCTTGGGTCATGGACCGAAGGAGGAGAGGAAGAAGGATAAGTGCAGGAGAAAGACGACGCTGGTGGTAGGCTTTTTCGGCAGCTGAGATGCGTAAAGAGTAGGATAGAGAGCGGGGGAACGATACCCTGTGGATAGAGGACACAGTTCGTACCAAAATGGCATTTGCAAATCTTACTGAATTTTAATTAATCATATGTAATTAATACAATAGGATATAAGATTATGTCTATTTGATTTTTTTTCAATAAAATTCGAATTCTAATAATATTGAAATGAAATAATGAAAAAAATTATAATATATTAATATTATATAAAAATTTAAATTCGTAGTATTCTCTTCTTCTGTAAAATAAGTTAGGATCAAAAGAATATCAATAAGTACATCTTGATGTAGATAAAGGTCTATTAGTTTTAAATATATTAAAATATATTTAAGGATAAAAATGACAGATTCAAACTGTCGAGAAATAATCGAAGATTTATCTACTAAAGATATTTGCAATTATTTAAATAATTTAATATCTATTTTTAGTATTTAAATTTGTTATAACATTAAATATTTTTCAATATACTTTTTAATAGGTTCTATCCCTTATGCCAAAAATCAATTAAATGAAACAAAATATACAGAAAGCAAACAACTCCGCTATATGAGTTTGTAATGAAGAAACCTGGCACTGAAGAAAATGTGATATGATACAATCAAGCATCCTTTACTTGCTGAGGAACACTATATATGTAATGGGAGAAATTACAACAGGGAATGACACGCCATGAATTAAACCCTGATGAAACCACCAACTTTACTTATAGCATGCATTGCCATCCATCATTCTATTCCGAAAGTGCGTCATCTTTAAATGGGAATGTCGCATGTACAAAATCATATTATCCATGGCAAACTGGTTCAAGTTTTGATGTATCTGCTGTTTCAACCTGTAAACACCTAATTTCTTACCTTGGTGTTCTTGTCCATGTTCGAATCACTCTGTACAGTATCCAATGTCTGACGTTGGGTAGACACATTATAGTCGGAACTCCTAGTAATTTAATCACCAAGAGCCAGAAGAACTGAAGAGAGCTCTGATATGGAAGAGTTTGCGTGCTAGCCTTCTTATGTTCATATTCGCCGATACAATTACAAATTCCTCAAACCAATATAAGACGGCCACAAACGGGTACGAACCATCCTTCACCCTCTTAAAAAGAATTATATCTTGTAGAAAAACGTTGGAGCCATTGCATAGCGAATCATCCTTGTATAACACGAGTATCTTTTTCGCATGAAAATCTTCACTAGTCTGATTTTAGCAAACATGCAACAATAGGGAAACAAATCTAATTTGAATTCACAATATCCCATTCAAAACCCTTTGATAATAATCATACTGCCGCGTCCGCCATGCATCTAAACTGCTGCTGATCAGGGAAAGCACCAATGACACACATTGCTGCAAGAAACCAACAGATAACCACCATCAAGATTAAATGCAGGGCAGTATTAAAAATGGATAAAAAGCTTAAGACAACAAACCTCTTCTGTCAGACTTAAGTGGAACCGTTTTCTCAAGTTCTGTATTGCTCGAGGGCCACCTTTGAAGCATGGGTAACCAGAATCCTAACACAAAAGATGAAAATATATTGAGCATATATGTTCTTTCTCCAGCCTTACATATTACTAATATATCTTGGCAGACAGCTCAACCTTTTTTTTGTCCTAACTATATATATTGTGTGTTACTCAGCGAGACACAATCAGGCTCAGTGAATTACTGAATTGTATGTGACTGATTACTCCATCCTCTAATTATCATGATTTATAAGCAGTTGTTACAAAAACATTGGTATCAGGCATAAGCAAGCCAATTTGGAAAACTTTCAAAGCTCAGTAAGAGAACTACCCAAATCAGGTCTCATCATGTTACGATTATGTACAAAAATATAGCATGACCAGCAATAAACTATAGCATGTTACCTGCAACATTTCAACAAGAAGAATTATGCGCTCTGCATGCTTACGGCAGGTTAGGAAGCCCTGGATGCATAATACCTGAATTTAAGGGTAAAGATCTCAGCATCAATTTAGCACAAGCATATTTACTAATTAAAAGCTGGACTTTCATTTAGTACAGACCAACTTGGTTTAAGATTTATGAAATAAGAAGAAAGATAATAGTATTACATAAAGCTTGACACATTGGTCTTTTAGTAAGAATTGATATGTCTTTATCGTTCACTTCATGTTTTAATAACATTTATTTTCAGTAAGCAAGAAACTTCCAACAATTTCTGCTAATTTGCTATTGACACCCGTCACAAACTTGTGTAAGAGAGTGAACAAACCACGCATGCCTTAAACAGAGAAAGAAAGGGCTTAAATACCTTAAAGTAGTCAAAAAATTCACTTGGAACTCCCTCAGCATCAGAATCCATGACCTAACACCCCAACAATAAAGCATTAAGAGCAAATCGAAGTAACTGATAGAATTGTGTTGACAAACAAAAATTGAGCTATAAGATAGAATCTCATGTTCAGCAGACTTACCTCAAGAAGTTCACGGGTTAATTTGAATGGTGCACTCTCAAAATTTACACCACCAGGTGAATTGGAGAGCATGAAGCCAAAATCTATATGTATTATGTGACCTTCTTCATCCAGTAGCAGATTTCCATTATGCCTATCCTTCACCTACACATGGATAAATTGGCAAATAAAAAATAAAAAAATGGAGTATTTAACATACTAGCTCATTAAATTTATAACCACCCAGAATCAAATGCTGTTATAGTATGCTTTCAGTACAAAACAAAACCACCAGTACAATAAAACGACATTTAGAAAGCGACATCTGCCATTCAATCAATCTTATTCATTGCTTTAACCTCCTTAAAAGTTTCTATTCCATGATGTTCAATTTGTGCATTGAATTGACGAAATAGAGTGAAAGAAAACCATATATACCTGCAGAAGATAGCACAGAAGGGAATACCCAGCCATACTTTCAACAAAATTTCTCTGCAATAAAATAACTTTAATATGAGCAATAGAAACATTCAACAAAAGTATATCTAAGCACCTTCCATAGAAAAAATAACATCATAATTTGACTGATTAAAATATTAAAGAAACAAAATTACGAAACAAACCAGAAATTTTAAGAGCACAACCAAAAATAGCAAACTATAAACTCATTCTAGTGCATAAAAACATCAAAAACAAAAAGAGTGAAACCTGGTGTTTCATTAACTTTAGCTAATAAAATATAGAACATAATCATGCAAGATAACAAAGCATATTAACAGAATACCCTTCATATAACTCTTTTGAATAATGTCAACCAAATCAGCAAACCACAGAAATGTCCATCTTCCTAAAACAAACTTGTACACATTACAGCATTCCAAAGAGGAGTAATTGATTACCATCCAACGGAACACTGCAACTAATGTATCTTGCTCCTACATCCCATTATCACAAAGGCTTGGATTTGACCAGTGAAGTTAGCCAAGAAGTGTATCACAATCACAAATTTTATTACTAAACAAAAGACACCAACAAGAGTGATCCACCTACTTGCAAATATCAAAGATAATTTGCACAAATCAGAACCCAGCACATCAAGCAGTCAACATATACTATTAGGTAACTGACATCGGCTAGCAAGATTTGTAAATAACCATAGGATGATTGCTTCAAAATGAAAGTAACCTTAAGGTAACTCAGAAAAAAAAAAGACTTCAAAATAGCATAAAATGTAAATCACACTGCAGCTTAAAAAAGAGTAGGTAAATTGTCCATGATGACAAAAACCAAAATTGCTCTCTAACTCTAAAATATTATAGAAGTGGAAAGGAATGTTCCTGTCTTCTATTATTTAACAACATTCCTTTCAATTACTAGAGCATTACAATCGTAGTATCTGCAGTAATACAGAAAAAGAACTTTTTTCCAGGGTAAAAAGAGAAAAGTAAATTCTGACTCGTCTTGATGGTCCAACCACAATCCTAAAAGCTTAAATATAAAGCCAAAACATTTTAGTAAACGTGGCAATTATTTGAAATGTAGGAACGAACTTGCCTAACAAACAAAATAGAAGGAGAGACCTGCCCCTTTGCCACTGGATTACCTGTGCCAGTTTAAAACTTGGAGAATTTTCCTGATATTTAGCAGCAAAGAATTCACGTAAACTTGATAGATTAAGATATCTACTTTTGATAGAATGAAGAGAGGCCTGCAGAAAACAGCAAAGCTATTACCATTTAAACAGCCAAAGTTTCCATCATAGATGCTATCCAGTCTGTTGAACAGATAAAGTTTATGTTACCGTATCTGGAATTGTTTCAATAAGTGCTGTGTAAGAAGATGTAACCAAAACTTCATAAGGGCGCAACCATAGAGGAAGGCCTGCTTCTTGGAATATATCTGGCATTTGAAACCGTAAACACACACTTCAACCCACTATGATAATGGAACAATCAGTTCTGAGATCACTAATGTTTGAAATACTTATACATAATACACCTATGAATGTAATTTTTACAATTTATTGAACATCAAGCATTCTTAATCATCTTTGTGCATGCAGAGTTATGTCTCCCTTTCTAGAGGGGAAAAAGGAAATTCACTGCCTTGATATTTTCTCAAATCATTTCTAATTGTAGGAATTATAGAAATGAGTTGTCAATCCCTTAAGTTAAGAGATTATATAATTATTTTCTGTTTTTTCAATCCCTTATTTCAAGGGATTACATCTCCTAGGATTAGTTTCCTTTCTTAGAGTTTCCTAGTTTAGAGGCATAATTTGTATATAAATATGTAATATGTTCTACTGAATGTACACAAGAATAAAAATAACAGACTTGTCTGTTTTCTACAGTCTGTTTTCTACATGGTATCAGGTTAGAGCGATCAATCCGATTTCCGCTTCTCTTTAAATCAATTCCTATTCAACTCTATTTTTTTTTCATGGCTAATCCGGATCCCTCAGCATCCGAAATCACTTCCCAGACCAGCCCCTCTCAATCTGATTTTCAGATTTCAGTTTTCAAATTTTCAAAGCAACAGAGGAAAAATCGCCTTTGGTGTGAACATTGTAAGAAGCCAGGCCATATGATAGATCAATGTTGGAAGCTGCACGGAAAACCAGCCGATTGGCAGCACACACGGTCCAGGTTTCAAAAGGAGCCTCATATTGCCTCTCAAGATGATTCCTCAAGCAGTTTTAGCAAGAAACAGATAGAGGAACTGCAGCAGATTTTGAGCAGTATGACAGCCAAGCCTACAAATGTGACTTATACTACTACTGATGGAAATAGTCCATATGCTTCCTCGGTACAATGGATAATAGACTCGGGTGCATCAGATCATATGACAGGAAATATTAATATCTTGGAGGAATATAGTGAAAGCAGCTTACCAGCTTCTATCAAAATAGCAGATGGTTCTCTCACTACAGTCAAAGGGAGTGGTTATGTTACATTAAACAAAAATCTACTACTTCATAATGTCCTCTATGTTCCTAGACTTGCATGCAATCTGTTGTCAGTCAGCAAATTAATTAAAGATTTTGGTTGTAATGTTGTGTTTGGTACTGGTGGTTGCATTTTTCAGACACAGGGCTCGAAGAGGGTGATTGACAGTGCTAGGCTGGGCAAAGGATTGTACACCCTTGGAGGTAAAGCATCTCATAATCATGCCTTATCTAGTGCTCTTAGGAAACCAATTTTATCTTCTGATCTCAATACCAATAAAATTATGTTATGGCACTCTAGATTAGGTCATCCTAATTTTTTCTATCTTTCCAAAATGTTACCGAACTTATTCATTAATAAAGATCCGTCTTTGTTTTCCTGTGAAATTTGTCAAATGGCCAAACACACCAGAAAACCATATATTCCAGCCAAATTTGAACCAACAACACCTTTTTCCATCATCCATAGTGACATTTGGGGCCCTTCTCCTGTCAAAAGTATTTCTGGATATAAGTGGTTTGTGTCTTTTATAGATGATTACTCTAGGACAACATGGGTTTTCTTAATGAGAGAAAAATCTGAGGTTGAGTCTCTCTTTAAAAGTTTTTATCAAAAAGTTGAAACCCAATTTGACACAAAAATCAAAATTCTAAGGAGTGACAATGGGAGTGAGTATTTGAATAAAACCCTTGGGTATTTCTTTAAGGAAAAAGGCATTGTTCACCTTACTTCTTGTGTCAACACACCTCAACAAAACGGGGTAGCAGAAAGGAAAAATAGACATCTTCTAGAGGTTACTAGGTCTCTTATGTTTGCTGCTAATGCTCCTAAGTATCTTTGGGGGGAAGCTCTTCTTACAGCCACTTACCTCATCAATAGAATGCCAAGTAAAACCTTAGATTTCAAAATTCCTACTAAGGTTCTGTTTCAGCTGTATCCCCATTTTAAACATTTAAACTCAAGTCTTTCTCCTCGGGTGTTTGGGTGTACAACCTTTGTTCATATCCACAACAGAGGGAAATTAGATCCTAGGTCCATAAAGTGTGTGTTCTTGGGCTATTCTTCGAGTCAGAAGGGTTACAAGTGTTACTCACCTTCTACCAAAAAGACCTATGTCTCCTTTGATGTTACATTTTTTGAAAACCAACCTTATTTTTCAGGAACAGAAATTCAGGGGGAGAGTTACAAGGAATTTCAGCCTGTTCAAACCGATATTTCTTTACAGCCTATTAGTTACAAGGAATTTCAACCTGTTCAAACCGATATTTCTTTACAACCTATCCTTTCCTTACCTATTACCATATATTCCAGCCAAATTTGAACCAACAACACCTTTTTCCATCATCCATAGTGACATTTGGGGCCCTTCTCCTGTCAAAAGTATTTCTGGATATAAGTGGTTTGTGTCTTTTATAGATGATTACTCTAGGACAACATGGGTTTTCTTAATGAGAGAAAAATCTGAGGTTGAGTCTCTCTTTAAAAGTTTTTATCAAAAAGTTGAAACCCAATTTGACACAAAAATCAAAATTCTAAGGAGTGACAATGGGAGTGAGTATTTGAATAAAACCCTTGGGTATTTCTTTAAGGAAAAAGGCATTGTTCACCTTACTTCTTGTGTCAACACACCTCAACAAAACGGGGTAGCAGAAAGGAAAAATAGACATCTTCTAGAGGTTACTAGGTCTCTTATGTTTGCTGCTAATGTTCCTAAGTATCTTTGGGGGGAAGCTCTTCTTACAGCCACTTACCTCATCAATAGAATGCCAAGTAAAACCTTAGATTTCAAAATTCCTACTAAGGTTCTGTTTCAGCTGTATCCCCATTTTAAACATTTAAACTCAAGTCTTTCTCCTCGGGTGTTTGGGTTTAAAACCTTTGTTCATATCCACAACAGAGGGAAATTAGATCCTAGGTCCATAAAGTGTGTGTTCTTGGGCTATTCTTCGAGTCAGAAGGGTTACAAGTGTTACTCACCTTCCACCAAAAAGACCTATGTCTCCTTTGATGTTACATTTTTTGAAAACCAACCTTATTTTTCAGGAACAGAAATTCAGGGGAGAGTTACAAGGAATTTCAGCCTGTTCAAACCGATATTTCTTTACAGCCTATTAGTTACAAGGAATTTCAACCTGTTCAAACCGATATTTCTTTACAACCTATCCTTTCCTTACCTATTACTGTCTCTCCAAAGCCGGCTAGCACTGTCCCAGTTCCTAGGGAGGGTGATGGGAATAACCTAAATAACTCTGATGAATTACCTTCCTCCTTATCTCAGCACTCTAGTCCGTGCAAAACACCTTCCACCACTACCAAAAATGCACCTAACAATGACCCTGAAACCATAACTCCCCAACCGAAACAACTCAGTGTTTACTCAAGAAGAAGGAAAGATGTTGCTGAAGAAATCAGTCAGCCTAGCATTTGCCAAGAACCAGATTCGGATCCTGTTGCAGCTGAAACAGAAGGTAATGATGGTTACCAAGAGGCTACTACTGTTGATCTTGATGACTTTCCTATTGCTATTAGGAAGGGGGTAAGAAAATGCACTGCTCATCCCATAAAAAAGTATGTTGCATATGGGAAATTACAGTATAATTTCAGGGCCTTCACTGCCAGTATTAACACTGTGAAAATCCCAAGAAATGTGACAGAAGCATTTCAATCTCCTGAGTGGAAAAAGGCTGTGGAAGAAGAGATAAAAGCATTGCAAAAGAATAAAACATGGAGTTTGACAGATTTGCCAAAAGGGAAGAGAGCTGTTGGATGCAGGTGGATATTCACAGTCAAATATCATTCGGATGGGAGTGTGGAAAGATACAAGGCAAGGCTGGTTGCTAAAGGTTTTTCTCAGTCCTATGGCATCGACTACCAGGAGACTTTTGCACCGGTTGCAAAATTGAATACCATCAGAATATTGTTATCAGTAGCTGTTAACATGGACTGGAAATTGCATCAGCTGGACATAAAGAATGCTTTTCTGAATGGGAACCTTGAAGAAGAGGTATACATGGAGGTCCCCCCGGATTAGAAGGAAAAGTCACTAAGAAAACTGTGTGCAAGCTCAATAAATCCTTATATGGCTTAAAACAGTCTCCCAGGGCTTGGTTTGATCGATTTGCTAAGGCTATGACACAGAATGGTTTCAAACAAAGCCAAGCAGATCACACATTATTCAGAAAAATTACACCGAGTGGTAAGATAACCCTCCTAATTGTCTATGTAGATGATATGATTATAACTGGCAGTGATATAGAAGAAATAGAAAAGCTAAAGATGAATCTTGTAAAGGAGTTTGAAACCAAGGATTTAGGGAGTATGAGGTATTTCCTGGGTATGGAAGTTGCAAGGTCCGAAGAAGGGCTGGTCATAAACCAGCGTAAGTATGTTTTGGATCTTCTTGCAGAAACTGGGATGCTCGACTGCAAACCAGTTTAAACTCCAATGGAGCCAGGCTTGAAATTTTGCAAGGAGAGGACTGGAAATCCAGTAAACAAGGAATCCTACCAAAGGTTAGTTGGGAAGTTAATCTACCTGTCACTGACCAGGCCTGATATTGCATACTCAGTGAGCATTGTCAGCCAACATATGAGTGATCCTCGAGAAGAACATTTGGAAGCTGTTAACAGAATTTTAAGGTTCTTGAAATTTACCCCAGGAGCTGGACTTATATTTAGAAAAAATCAAGACAGAACAGTGAAGGTTTATACAGATACAAGCTGGGGAGGTGAATTAACTGATAGAAGGTCAGTTAGTGGCTACTGTACCTACGTTTGGGGTAATTTGGTGACTTGGAGAAGTAAGAAACAAGTTGTTGTCTCTCGAAGTAGTGCTGAGTCAGAGTTTAGAGCAATGGCTCTCGGAATATGTGAAGGAATGTGGATTAAAAGACTGCTCACAAAACTGGACTTAGATGACAAGAAGAATTTTGAGATTTTTAGTGACAGTCAATCAGCTATGAGTATAGCAAAAAATCCAGTGCAGCATGATAGAAAGAAACACATTGAGATAGACAGACATTTTATTTACAAGAAGGTCAACAATGGAGTTGCAAAACTGCAGTACATTCCGACGAAGAAACAGCTGGCAGATATCTTCACCAAAGCCCTTCCACGAGTGACTTTTGATGAGATGTCATTCAAACTGGGTATATACAACATATACACCAGTTTGAGGGGGAGTGTAGGAATTATAGAAATGAGTTGTCAATCCCTTAAGTTAAGAGATTATGTAATTATTTTCTGTTTTTTCAATCCCTTATTTCAAGGGATTACATCTCCTAGGATTAGCTTCCTTTCTTAGAGTTTCCTAGTTTAGAGGCATAATTTGTATATAAATATGTAATATGTTCTACTGAATGTACACAAGAATAAAAATAACAGACTTGTCTGTTTTCTACAGTCTGTTTTCTACACTAATAACATATGATGTAGACAGAAACGTGACTCCAAAAGTTGAAGGTTATACAGCAACCAGATTGGACACAAAGCAAATGAGAAAAGAATATTGGGAGAAAAGCAACACAAAAATTGTAATAAAGGGACATACCATAAAAATGAGAGATAAGCTGCACAGCAAGATGCTCTTGCCTACAATCATCCCCACTCTTTACAATAACCTTCATGATACAAATAACAAAGGGGGCATATTTACTTAAACCAAACTAAATAGCACATAATAGGAAGAAAATACTCGGAATTAAATAACATTCACCAAAAAGTCAAGACTTACACAAAAACATTAATATCAAATGCCTTACACAATCAAATTAATGCCAAATACATGGAAAAAAGGACAAAAAAAGGTTCATGTCAAAGCTATAAATGCAAGAATTAGTTGAACTATTACCCACTGATCCAACACCAATTAGTTCTAAATTGACTCACCCACTTATTTCTTTGAAATAACACTACATCAGATTCTAAGCTTCAGGACTAGTGTCTTTTGTAGGACCAATAAATTATTTCTTGCAATCAAACAAGCATCTCTACCAGCAGCATCAATGGGACTAGATAAACAACAAAGGTTGGTATTATCCATTTGATGGGCTGACCGGTGACATGGTGCTGTTTAAAGGCAGCAATAAATAAAAAAAATGGAACTAAGGTCTGTTTGTTTAATAAAAATAGGTTCCAGAAATTGTCTTGGACATTCTCTTAAAATTAAAGACATTTCACCTTTCTCCAACAACAAAGCCAACTTACTCTTACCTTCGGCAGCTACTCAAAGCCAGCTCATTACCATACAATCAAGTACAGCCAGACCCACCTTTGCCTCTCCTTCAATCTCCCTCTTCCTCCCTTGCTACACTTCAACATGAACAGCTTCTTCTCCTTTTCTCTCCTTTTTCATCACCACTCCAAACTGTCCCTTCCTCCTTTCTCTTACAAGTAGACTTTTTCCATGTTATCTTCTCTTTTCTCTTCTCTGTCATTGTCACCTTGACATATTAAAATTTTCTGTCCACAAACTTCACAAACCCAAAGTCCCAAACCCATCTATGCACTACATCTCAAGATCTTATGTCAACTACTCCCTAGTCCCTATAAAAGTTTTCAGGAGGAAGAAAATGATTGATTTTTGGCTTCCAATTGGGAACAAACTTTTCAGGAGATGAATCTTACAGTACAGGGTTTTCAGGAGGAAGAAAATGATTGATCTTTGGCTTCCAATTGGGAACAAACTTTTCAAACATCTCAACAGAAATGATTTTGGGAACAGGTCATTATTTCAGAAGTCAAGTACCAAAAAAAAGGATGAGCTCCACAAAGCAATCCTTAACCTTGGCAAAGGACCCACCTCATCAAGCCAATTGAAAAAACAACATTGCTTTACAGGATGTACAACAAATGCTGAAGTAAATTATACCTATAATGATATGATCTGAAATATCTGACTGAGGAGAAAAAACTCTAAACACACGGCAGAAAAATTACTATAAGGCGCTCTAAAAGAAAAATACCACAAAAGAAAATGCCATCACAACAGCAGTTACAACTAGCTGACACTAATAATGGAAGATCACAGAAAAGTGAACATGTATATGCCCACTTGCAAGACTAGTCACTGTGATTGCATGGTATATATATACTAGCATTAAGATAAGTAATGATAATGATGACATGTACATATGTTATTGGTTAGTCTTGCAGAAGAAGCATGATACAAATAAAATTGCTAAGGGATTTACGCAGAGATAAAACCATTCTGCACTTAATTAGGCACATACAACCACAATGCTAAGGGAAGTAAAGAAGCAAATAGAGCAATTGATTATGAGCAGAACTTACAGAACGCAAGTCCCAACCAGGTAATTTCCCATATATTGAAGCTTTCCGTATTCTCTCCTTCTTCACCTCCCAAAGTTCACCAGATAATGCATCACCAGCTTTAGGCACACCTCCATTAGCCTAGGGAATTTACAAAGTTTCAAGGAAAAGAAGAAAAAGAGCAAAGAGAGAGAAAGATCTTCAGTTTCACCAACATTACCCTTGGCTGTGCATCTGATGAATCCTGACCAGCCCCTTTCAAAGGGAGTCCAGGAGGAGCTTCTCCCTTTGCAGCCGCTGCCTGCACAACAATTTTATGTTTCAGTAGTAGCATCTAAAATGAGACACAAATTAAATAAATTTATAAAGGAAACTCATTTCAAATTTTAATTAATATAAGCCGAAAGACTGAATCAAAAACATTTCTTCCTCTATTAAACTTTATACTTCTGAGAACAACTTAAAAATGGTCTTAAAGTAAATAAGCATCTACAGAAACTTTTACAATAAAACCATGATGATGATAAGAATAGACACCCTTGACAACATTTGATAAAATTATTACAGGCTAAAGCAACTTATCTCCCAATATTTAACTTGATATCAGCACATGGGAATGGAAAAATCCCCTCGTAGACTACTGGCATATTCTGTGCATATTATAAAATATTTTAACAACTTATAGATTATCCCTAATACATATTCTTCAGTTCATAGAAGCTCTTAACCAATCTAACCTAGAGCATTAACAAACCCAAATCTAGGACTAAAAGGAGATTGTACAAAGGATGCTCCCAGGTAAAACATGTCACTCATGAAATGGTCATGCTTTCGTGTCAAACTAGGATGCAATATCAAGTGGACCTTTAGATTGACAATAATTCACCATGATGTCAGACAAGCTAAAATGTGCCATGAATAATTTGGTAGTTAAAATCTTACACACTTCTAAGCCTTCAAGGACTTAACTATTATTCTAAAAACAAGAAGAAAAACATAACCTAACAAAACTAAACAGCCCAAGACAGATCAAGTTTAGATATCTAGGTATGTGACACTGAAAAGCCCAAAAATGGTCTAACCAGGCACACACAAACCTCTGGGTTAATACCTTAACCATTAGCAAAAATAATGTCAAAACAAAATTAGACTCCCACCTGTCCCTTATTTACATAAAAACATGCACATAAAAATTTGCATACTTAATATTTTAACCATGAGAGAATGATGTCATCTACTTCAAATGTTTATAATCAGATTCCCACCTTTACTTCCTCTATGGCAACAGTACTTGGAACACGACGGTGCTCCTTCCGACGTTGTCGCCCCTGCCCCTCAATATCTTCCATTCGGAGCCCAGGATCTCCAGTCAATACCACCCTTACCCACTCCATATCACTAGCATGAGCATCTTCTATTTTTTGAGTTAAATCTCGTCCACCCTGAACTGAAACAGCACTCAAATTGCAACGATTCACACCACACTTTGGATCACGTGCATCAATACTCCCTGACGTATTGATTGATTGCTTTTCTACAGAGAAACACACATTAACAAATTTCACTTTTGCATCAGACTTATGTGTCATTGCTTGGTCAATGGCTTGTGCAGTGGAACTTGACATCCTATCACTACTATTTCGATACGCCTCTTGAGCGGTCCATAAAGGATAAGCCCATGGAGGCGGCTTTTGGAGTAATGCATCACCATTTGCTAGAGGGATTCCACCTCTAAAAAGTTTCTGAGTATTAGATGCATCCTTTGTACTGCTAAAATAAGATTCAGGAAAAAGATTTAGAAACCACACTCAGTTCCTTTGAGTTATGTATAAGTTATCTCATGTAACTTGAAAAACTGAGACTGCATTTTCATATGGGCAATTGACTAAAAACTTACCTCGGCAATTCAAATTTCAAAACTTCAACGCAGATCAGGTAAGGTGCTTTTTCCCTAGAATTCAAAAGAACAGCTTCATCTTCAGGAATATGAACCACACGATACATCCCTTTTCCCATTGGAAAGCAAACTCCTAAAAGTATTCCCAAGGATACTCAAATAAGGGTAATGGAGCAATATATTACAAACAACAATCCAGTTCACTCAATAAATGAAAAGTAAATTAACAATGGAAATGCAGGCTAACTGCCAATTAATAATGCAAAAATTTTATCATGGCCAAAAACAAAGCCTTAAAAGTTTGAATGGCATAATACCCCAGAAAAGAAAAAGAAAAGGAAAAGCTCTAATTGCATGGTAAATTTCATTAACAATGTGAAAGCATAATATAACTTTGCAACTGGTGTCACCAAATTACAAACCATTCAGCCAATCACAGAATTCACTGGGCCCAGCTATTTAACCAGGTTATTATGGCTTGGTCATGTACATTTGTGATGTTTATTTCTCCCTTAAATTAACAACATAAATAATTAAGATCTCCACTTCGTATTTCCAAGCATTGATTGCTTGTATATTGCACGTTTGATTGAATCCAAGTATTGCAACACTTTTCAGTGTCTTAAATATTGAAAATTTATCACAGAAATCTCTTCGAAGGAACTTCTCTTACTTTACATAAGCAGAAAAGTTGAGCAAGATCAGATTGGGTCACCCACAGATTAATCTTAGATCAACCCCTCCTGCAAAGCCTAGGATCTAAAAACCCAAGTACAGAAGGGGCAACCCATTCCAACCAACCCAAGTTGCATAAGATATCAACACAACCCTCAATTGTAGATATTACATGTTCACAACCAATATCACCATAAGCAGAACACACATCTTCTCACTAATTTACCCTCTTTTTCTCATTTGAATGAAAGAAATAGCTGTACTCAGAAAGAAGAAATAGTACAAGATGGGAGTAAAAGGAAAATGAAGATATTTCAGGACACCAAAATAAATTGCTTCCAACTGAATGAAACGCATCAATTAAATGATGTATTCACTTGACAGAAGATAGCAAAGATACGGTTATAAAAATGAGAAAGCAAGAACCAAAACTAAATTTCAACCTCAGTAAAAATGTCTAGCACTCCAACAAAAAGATCCTAACATCTCAAAATTTTTACATAGGTTTCCTCTTCAGTGGACAAGACTATGCAGCAAAAACATTGTCAACAGAAGTCAATAAAAGTTTACCCCTTTCAAACAGATCATATGAATATGCAAATGAATATAAAAACTAAAAACAATAAAGAGAATTATACATCACCGCACATGGTTTTATGGATTCATATTCTAAATGACCAGTAAACATATAGTGGTAATTCCAGTCACTAATTCACATTGGAAATCATAAGTGAACTTATTAAAGATGATAAATAATGCCACTCAATGCCATTGCTTTGATCAAATTCATCACAAATAAAAATGTACCTCCATTGTTTTGGGCCTCAGCTAGATGTGAATTGATCTCTGCAAGTGACTAGAAGGCAAAAATGACAATTAACATGTCAGATAACATCCTAGCAGAATATTTCATAAATTAATTGAAGCACTAATTAAACTTTGAAAAGAGCAAACCACCTCATGAAGAGCAGTTTTACGATCTTCAATAGGAAAAACGTCCACCAAGCCATATGATGTGTCACATAATGACAGTACAAAATCCAATGAATCATGATAAGCCCCTTTTCGTAATTGTGATACAGAATTATTTGGAAGCGGAGGCTTGGAGTTTGATCTATCAATCTGTTGCTTAGGTGAACCAGGATGCTTCTGCAAATTTGTGGGCACAGAAAATTAACATAAATTCCCAGGAGCAAGTCCAGTAAACAGCAATAATAATGAAAAGTAAAGAGCAATAGAATCGCATGAAAGCAGTAAAACTCTTGCTTCAAATACTTCTCCAAAAACAAATGAAGGAAAATTTCTCAGTAACAAAAAAACTTTCCATATCCTTTGTGATATTTTCTATCATTTAATTATAATAGTCCATCCTATGTGACCCCAATTACTCTTCATTTTTCTTGAAGCACCCACATCTGACACCCAATTCAAATGCACATTCAGATTTGGGTAGGAGGATCTAACCCTCCCAGGAACCTCCAAATACATGGAAAAACTTATTTTTATGCTTTTTTTGGACTTGTTAGGATTCTTTAGCTTTATGCACTTCTTCAATGTTATTCAGCTTATCAAGTACTAAAGGGGAAAATACTTTATTTCCTTAACAATGTGAATTTATTTCATCAAGTCCAGTGCTCTAAATCTCAATAAAAAGCATAATCTACAGCCATGTTCTAAGTAGGCAAGTTGGTTCAGCAAAGCCAAATAAATCTCCAGTCACATCACACAGATTTCAAGTTTTCAACAATTTCAAAGAATAGAAAGCAAAACAAACTGATCCATCTGAAGTTCCCTTGTGTTCCTAAGAGGTTTCCACAACATTTTCAAATCATTACATATTACAAGGTTTTAATCAAAGAAAAGGACATTCAGATTTAAAACCACAGATTCTAAAAAGCAAGTCGAGAACATGGGGACACATAACAATAACCAAACAATATAATAGGAAACAAAAGAAAAGGAAGAAGAAGAAAAATCCTTAATATCAATTGTCAAAGCCACTATAATGAGTGAGGAGTATGTTCAGTGTTCAAAACTCAAAACAATCTTCACGGTTATTACCGAATATACTCTCAACTGCATTCAATAAGTTTAATGCCTAAACCTTATTTAGAAAAAGCAAGGCAGTTATTTATGAACCAATCTGCACTCCTGGTGATTACGATCAGGTGTCAGGCAATGGTGAAAGCCAAAATTAGACAGAATGAAGGGCAAGAGGAAGAAGAATGTTCCCTGGATCGATCAAGTATCCTAGTTCTAACGTAATAACAAAAGGTTGCTAACGGAGTGGAAGCTGTTACTTGTTTAAATGTTTTTCATGAAAAATAACAAATTAACAATGTCAATTGTCAAAAGGGGGGAAATTCCAGTACATAAGTAAAAATAATAATAGAACAATAATACAGGAAAAATAGATAAAAACAAACATAATAGATCATGTTCAGATAGCCAATAGTCCAGAAGATGAGAAAAATATATCAGTGGGATGGATCATAATCCAATTAATAATCCTATCTCGAACCAACCAGGGTAAATTCACCATTTAGCAGATGCTATCCTTCCATTCATGGGAAACCAAGTCAAGGACGCACTACTTCTAAGGATGACAAAAATAGTTTCAAATGGAGAACATTTCCACAGTATCAATACTAATAGGAATAATGGTGAGGATTAATTTCTTCACAATTTACAGCAGAGGCTGGCAACTAGAGAGCAAATGGTAGAACTGAAAGATTACTAAGCTCTATTTTTCAAATCGTGGCCCCAACATAAAACAAATAATATGATATTTGTCTTTCACAAAGTCTACTGCATCAAATTAAAAACACAAAGTTCACAAAAGACCATCCATATGATGAAAGGATTGTTTAAATCAGTCCAATGGGAATGTGTAGATCAGGGATATTAGACTAATGGTAAGAATGTAATACTGAAAGTTGATATACCATGGGTGCATACATTGGAAACCAAAGGACTAAAAATGAATAGACCTCGAAGCATGAAGACAACATGTCAACAAAAACAGAAGTGAACAAACCTCTTTGTGCATCTTTGAATTGAACAGCTCCGAATCTTCAATTGAACGATCCCGGTCCCTAAAGAGTTTGCGGAAGAAGTTCTCAGTCCCTGGACTGCTCTCAAACAAACTATCACTGTTGCCGTATTCATTTGCTGTACTAGTTTTATTCTCTCCAGGATGCACTCTGAACAGTCTTCTCAACAGTGAGAACTCTGAAGGATCTTCTTCCTCGCCATCATCATTCTTATCATTACCTTCTTTCTTTTCCTCGGTTTTATCCTTGAAAAGTTTCCGGAAAAAACCCTCCTTTTCATCATATTCACCTGATTTTGAAGTTTTTTCAGCAGAATTCACCATATGTACATCATCAGTTCTATCAGCTACGTCATCATTCTTATCATTCCCGTCTTTATTTTCCTCGGATTTATCCTTGAAAAGTTTCCGGAAAAAACCCTCCTTTTCATCATCTTCACCGGATTTTGAAGCTTTTTCTGCAGTGCTCATCATATGCACATCATCAATTCTATCATTTACATCTTTCTTATCCTCAAATTTATCTTTAAATAACTTCTTAAAGAACCCCTCTTTCTCATCATCTTCTGCTGGCTTAGAAACCATTTTATCATCAGAATCACTCTTACTATCTCGAAACAATTTCTTAAAAAACCCTTCAGAACTTGAAGTCATTTCTTCCTCCTCTCCTTTACTATCCTTTAAAAGCCTCTTAAAGAACCCATCTGAACTCGATGTTAACTCCTCATCCTCTCTCCCTTTGCTGTCCCTCAAAATCCTCTTGAAAAACCCATCCTTTTCATTCTCCTCTTCGTCCTTCTCAGCTGACTTCCTAAACAACAAGGCATCTCTGACTTTAGGACTTGGAATAAATTTTTTAAAAATCTTATTCTCCTCTGGGGACAACAATTGATTACCATCTTCCTGCAAATGGTTTCCTGAAGAGGGGGAGGACAATGATATTGATCTCTGTGGAGAAGGTGTAGTCAACGACAAAAACAGCTGTTTCGAGGATAGGAATCGATTCAAAACTTGATTTTTACTCCCGGGACTTGAACCTGCATTGGGTGGCCGCACAAGGGGAGGCCACTCACCCATCAAAGTAGCAGCAATTTGACACTTTTCTTGAATCCTATTAATCCCTTCATTATCATCAGAATCCTCTAACTCGGCCAACAAAAACCAATGCACCTTCATTGCCATTTTCAGTGATTTTGAGCACATATCAATAACGAACTTATCCAATGAAGGGCTTGGCTTATGTACCATCATGTAACAAATCTGGAACAGATAGCTTTCGATTCCAGATAATGGAAGAGTGTACATCCTGTTACAGAGATAATCTCGTACCCCGGCATGATCATGCTTGTAAAGATAGCTAACGGCGATCCACTCACAGAAAAACGCTGAGTCAAAGAATCTGATGAGCCACCCATTTTCACCTGACTCGCTTGTTAGAGGAGTCCTCGAAGTGGTGATTTCACGAGGTGACTCATCCGATTCTCCTCGACTCAGTCTTAGAAGCCTCACCATCGTTACCAATCTACCATCCTAAAACCTAATTTCGATGTGTAGTTTGGGAAATCGAAACCAAATTATCAAGTAGAAAGTCTTGAAATCTAATACAAAACCCTAGAATCTTCTAAAAACTTCCATAGAGAACCCCAATTCCCTCTCACCTGAGCGAATTCGGAAGCGCTTCGCTAATCCACTACCCGTATTGCTCTCACTGTTGAACCCCTCTTGGAGAATCACAGTGGTAGAGAAAAGCAGAAACCCTGATTCAGAGGTTAAAGAAGACGGAGAAGTATAATCGATAGTGGTTTTTCCTCAGCTGCTTGGCTGTAAGGAAAAAGGGTCAAATGATCGGGGAGAAGGTTTGAAAAAGTTGATCTTTTAGAGAAAGAATTTTGGAATTTTCTTCTTAGAGAATACAGAATACAAAATTCTGAATTTAGTGCTTCTGAATTTAGTGCGAGGAAGAAAAGAAAAAGGAGAGGGTGGATTGGTTTCCCACACCGACGTCGTGAGACTAGCGGACGTGGTGGCGATGCTGGCGGTGGTGGCCTTCTTTGGTGTTGTTGGAGAGAGAAAGACAATGGCGAGGTAATTACGTTTATTTTTAGTTTTTTAAAATTCAAATAAAAATACATTGAATATTATTATTATTGTGAGACAAGGGTTTTGCTAACTTGAACGGAAAGAATAACGGCGTATTTTATGAAATTTCATTTTGTTTTCCTTCGTCGTTAAGGTTATGCTTGTTTCACAGCTCTCGAAACATGATTTACGAAAGATGTGATACTTTATGGTTTCGAATAATATTTTTTTAGAAACTTTGGATTTAAAGGTTCAATTTTAAAATTCACAGTATCTTAAAAATAATTATACTGAAAATTTTTAAAAGAAATAAAAATATAATTATAATAATTTAAAATTATTATTAATTTAAAAAGTAATTATACTATCAAAGTCGAAATATCATTGTCTCTCTCACTTATAATATAGTTCGTCACATAAAATAAGTTGAATTTAGGAGAAATCAATAGCACCAGCAGTTTGTGTACAAATGGTTTAGAGTAAATTATACAAATGGTTTAGAGTAAATTATACTGATTCCCCACCCCCCACCCCCACATAATATCAATGAGAAATGTTTTAAGCTAAACTATACAAATAGTTTCTCAATTATAAAATATTATTTTATCGAGTTTCTAATTATTAAAATAATAGTTTAATCATTATTTTATTGAGTCCTTCGACTATTAAAAGTTATAAAATTGTCACTCAACTATTCATATGTTCTAAACTCATTCATTTTCGTTAAAAATTGATGACGGTCTAAACTGAACGTAACTTGCTGATTGAGATATGATAAAATCTGATATTAAAGTCTCAATCGACTATCATATTTCGGTCAACATGTTAAAGTCCAACTCAGATGATTGTCAATTTTTTTTATCAAAATATGTCGAATTTGAAACATATAAATAATTGAATGATCATTTATAATCGAAGACCATTTATGTACATTATTTTAATAATGAATACAAACATTACACACCTTTCTGGATGTATGCTTGGGACCCTTTGTTTCCTTATACAAGGTTGCCAATTGTGCTCTATTTTGGAGAATATTGAATGCTGATTGTCTCACTTCATGTGATGCCTACAAACCATCACATCCCATAATGTCAAACCACTGCATTCTCATAACATCTCTCTACCTTCCTAGAACACAAAGTCTGAATACACAACATCTACCCGTCTTGTCACGATTGAGGTATTAACATGTACACAAACATTATAGATCCAATAACATGACAATTGTACCTAGAACTAACTCATTATAATTTCTCGAGCAGAGCTTTCACTCAGTTGTTTTATTGAATCACAACAAATTATCAAGTTACCATAGAAATATCATATCTACACATTTTGCAAACATATTCAAAAAAATTAAAACATCGGATTGACATGTTATTTAAACATATTCATTATCTAAACATACTATAGCGAGTGACATGTTATTTGATTGCTCGAATTGAGTTGAATTCAATTTAAGTAAATTTATGAATTTAACTCTTAATCATTTAAATTATAAAGACTTACAATAATTAAGTTGATAAAATGAACTGAATATACATTTATGCGTACTATTAAGATTAAGAATAAAATTTAAATTAACATATTTAATGACTATTATACAAGTTAAAATTAAAATTCTAAATTCTAAAAATATGAAATTAAAATGCTAAATCAAAAGCGTAAATGTATTCCAAAATCTTAATGGCCATGAAAATTTCAATCAACGTGTACATCCCTACTAATGAGTAAGAATTAGAGTTGTAAATGAGACGAGACAGATTACGAGTTACTCGAGATCGATTCGATCAAGGTTTAATAAATACTCGGATTGAATGGACTCGAGTCGAGTTCTTAACGAGTCGAAATGAGTTACTTGATATTCGACTCGAAAAGCTCGTGAGTAGCTCGAAAATAGAATATATTAAGATTTTATTTTTTAAAAAATAAATTATTAATAATATTATCATTTATATATTGATTTTTTTTAAAAAAAAATACAGTAAGATTTTCATATATTTAAGGTTCAGTTTCGAGTTTGAGTTTGAGACTTCAATCGAGTTAATTTTAAGATTTTTTTTCTTTTCATTTTAAGCCTTTTCGAGCTGCTCACGAGCTTCAGCTCAGGATTTCAAATTCGAGTCGAGCTTGAAAATTTTAAGCTCGTGAATTTTCAAATCGAGTCGAGCTCAACAATACTCGAGTTCGTCTAGGCTCGTTTACGCCGCTAGACTAAGAACTAAATATTAAAAAATTGGTAAAGGCGGATAGATAAGATCAACGCGAGACGAGAAACCCATTAGAGTTAAATCGTAAGATTTGAGGCTGGTGCGTACGCGGTTTCACCACACTATCGCGCTACTACTTACATGAATACGTGCGTATATCACATATTATTGGCTATAAAATTAACCTAACCTGCCACTTGTGGGAAGGAAAACGAAAAGGGGAAACATTTGACTTGTCCAAAGAGTACTGCAGGGAGGGGGAAGCCATGACCGGAAAAAAGCAAGTGGAAGAGAAGGTTGCCGGAAAGAAAAACTTGAAGCTGAATCAAAGGAAGATTGAGGTTTGTACTTGAATTTTTTTTTTCAAATACTCATGCTTAATTTCCTTTGATTTTTTTTATCCTGGAATTCTTATAACGCGTAGCTTTTGGCCTTTGTTTTACGATTACAGAAGAAGTGGAAGGAGAAGGTGAAATTTTTTGGAGGATTGGCAGCTGAGACGACGGCTGTGCAAGCAGAGCTGATACGTGAAATGGACGAAAATCTGCCGCAACTCGGATCCGACACGAACTCACAGAATCTTCAAGCTCTGCAACTCACTGCTCACCAGCTCCGAAAGGTCAACATGCTGGCCACACTGTTGAACGACGAGGTCAAAGATTACGTCGATGATTTTCTCGACGAGATTCAGAAGGCTGGTAAAGATGATTCCCATTGATCTGGTTTGTTTCCTCGATTCTCCCTCCCCCCCCCCTCTCTCTCTCTCATGAAATTTTCTGATTTATTTTTGGATACCTACCCTAAATTTGGATCTTCTTTTGGTAGACTTTTTTTTGGTTATGTTTTTTGCCTGCAGGCGTTTCATCTCACATTTGACTGATAAAGAGTTTGTTATCTTAATCATTTTCATTCCATAAAATCCATTGGTGGAGTAGAAAAAAGATTCCCAGATCGAACCTTATTCTTCCATTAACCTGAATCTTTTCTGTTTAGTTTTGATTTCTGTGTTGTTGGATTGCAGGGATCGAAGAAGTGGAATGGAATATTTCAACTGGTTCTTAAAATGGGGGGGGGGGGCATGTTCTAGTATTCCCAGTTGTTTCTACTACTTAAATCTGTCGGTGTGTGTGTCTCTGCTTTTCTATATGAAGCTTAATTTAATTTGTCAGGATTGAATATGCATAAACAACTTGTTTTCATCGTCATACTTGTTTACGTGAATTATTATGCTATATATCTGTGCGAATGATGATTCAATGTTTGAATCTTTGATAATAAATGTGTTGAGTTATGATTGTGGTTAAGATTCTATGTAGTAATTAGTTTGTTTTTCTTTGGCTTAAATTATGTACTTTTTGTTTTAAGTATTTAAATCATTTTTAGTTAAATATCTAAACTATCATTTCCCAAAATATACATGTTTTGCATCTAAAAATATTTTTTCCTTAATCGAATGACTCTTTCAATGAATCTCATCTAACTGAAATTATTTTAATAGATGCATGGCATAAAGATAATTACAGATTAAATATTTATTTTGACAAAAAAATTAATGCCTAAAATAAAATAAAAAATACACAAGCATTCCATGCAATTTTTGAAACCCTAGTCGAAGAGAGATTTTCCCTCAAACATTCTGCATACCCTAGTTTAGCTTTTATTGGTACACAACATATATCGTACTTTTAGCATGAGTGTGTCATGGATTCAATTATAGAATCTATTTGGAATTGAAGCTAGATGTTTTTTTCTCTAGAATTATTGTATAATGGGTTTTGTTTTCTTATTTGATTTCGATTGAAGTGTGGTGTATAGGACATATGTTTGATTTTATATTAAGAGATTAACTTATAAAATTTGAAAGAAAAATGAACTTATAAAATTTTAGATATGGTAAAATCTTTATTGATGTTTTGTTAGATTCTTTTGAAATTGCTGTTTGGTTGACGAGAAAACGAAGAAAAATAAATTTTTTTTTATTTTTTACTTGAATATTTTTTTTAAATATATTGATAAGAAAATAAATAAATTAATTAAGTATTTATTTTGAAAAAAATTAACACCTTCAAACAATTTGCTTACCCTAGTTTAGCCTTTTTTTTAGTAAACAACATATCTTGTACTTTTAGTATGAGTGTTGATTGTAACCTTAATTAGGTCCCTATCATTCTTCAGCTTTCATAATTTTCTTAATCTTCAATACTTTGGGTGTAATTGTTTCTTAGGTCTCAATCATTATCTTACCCCCAATCTTTAGGTTTAATTGTTTTCACATCCTATCATTTTTAATTTACACAAATTAAATCTTAATCATTTTTTAAATACTTATTAAATTCTTGTTAATTTTAAAATTAGATATTTTAAATCTTTGATTATATTTTCATAAACATCTTAAATCTCTTTTAATTTTAAATTTGTATAGAGATTTAACTTCGAATTTTAAAACTTTAAATTAATAACTTAATAATATAAAAAATAACAATTCAAGAATCAAATATATATAAGCATACAAATTAATGACCTAATAAATTCATTGGAGTACATAAACAATTTTTTGTATATTTACGTATATTAATAAATTCCTTGATATTAGTTCATTAAAGGTCTTGGATTCAAACAGTAAATCTACAAGATGTATATGTGTTGCTAATTAATTTAAAAAGTTCTAAATAAATATTACCCTTTAATTATCTTAAATTATTAAAATAAGTGTTCTACAAAACCCGGCTCATCATATCTCGGGGTACCAAACGTTCCAATAAAATATGTAAAGCTACACGCAAGCCTGGGGCCATTCGCGGCCGGCGGTCGTGGTCCCAACGCTACCAAGACATATATACACATGGTTCTTCGAGGTATAGTCGGTCCAAGAATATACTATTCATGCGTCAACATTCATTCCATATTGACAGCTGGATGCCTTCATCAAATAACAGCAAGATCAACAAGCTTTTTCTCAAACTTATTTGCTTCTTAATCAAATATTATAAGATGTGTTGAATAAGAAGGTTGTTATTGCATTTTGGTTAAAGTCACAGAATCGTGTATGACAAGAACTTTAACAAATAAGTTAGTAATTTAATTCTCATTATTTGACAAATATTCGTCTATGTTATTTAATTAGTTTTAAAGCAATAATCTTAAATTTAAAGACCATGAAAATTAAGTACGACGAAAATGATTTAGAACTAATTTTACTATATTTGTTACCTCCTCCTTATTTGAAATTTAGAAATGTTATTTTGTATATTCATGAATCTCTCACAACAAATAAAGTATATATTGTTATATTTTAGAGTTCTAAACTTCTCTTAATTTTTTCTCAATGCACAACATGTATTTTTTTTTCATTTGATGCTAGGAATTTTTTATTTAAGTAGTTGAGTGGTACAAAACACCCCATAATAAAATCAATTTTGTTTTTGTCTTGTCTTTTTAATATTTTCTATAATAAAGTTTAATTTTTTCTTTATTTAGTTTTTGAGCATTTTTACTTCGCTATTTTTAGTTTCCATAATATAAATTTTGTTTAGTCTCTCTTCTTATCTATTTAATTGAAAATGATGAGAAAACTTGTTTAAGGTTGGAGTTATTTAATGATAAAAGATTGTGTTGGTCAAGTAATTTTTTTTAACTTTTGTACTATTTTTTCCTTTCTGATACAAGGCGTAAATAATTGGTAACATAAGTCGCATGTTGAATCTGAAGAAAATCCGTCTTTTAATTTTGTCTTTTAATTTTTAGAGGAAGTTTGAATGTGAGATTGAGTGAGAAAATTTGATGAAAAGCTTGTTTGATTAGTGAGAAAATACAAAAATTTTGGAATTGATTCAGGACAGGGTTTGGGGTGGGTGGAATACCGTTTAATTCCGAGGTGGGTTAGGGTCGTATGAGGGGCATTGATTTTTTTTATTGAGTTTGGATGGTTGAAAAATTGACTTGTCTTTTTTCGTATTCATCCCCTAAATGTAATAAGAGATTTTAGTGATTTGGTAAACTCTAGTTGTATATGTTGACGATCTTACAATAAGCGAGAAGTGGATTTTTGATCTTGATTGAATTTTCATATATATATCCCAACTGAGGTTGGTTTTCAACATATAGAATGATATTAAAGATGTTATTTTGATACGAAACGATATCTCTTTTAGGACTACAAAAATTTAGGACTACACTTGATAAAATGTAACACATACTGGATTTAAAGAAAAATATGATTTATTCAAGTACTCTTGATTCAAAAGAGAACAATGGAGTTATGAAGATTTGAAAAGGTTCTCCCATAATGATGAAATAATAGTGTTATTGTCAAGTTGTAGGTTATGTAAGGTTCACTAGTTACATGTGTAATTTTTACTTCCTATCTTATTATATATATATATATATTATTGAATAGTTTTTATTAGACGGTGAATCAAACCTAAGTAATTTCTTAATAAATAAGGTATTAACAAACCGAAGTTAGACTTCCACTTTGTCTATCTTTTAATTCGATTGAAAAAATAAATTCAGATTTGTTAGATATGGCTCATAAATATACCAGTAAAGAGGACAGGAGATGGAGCGGAGTGAGCGAAGCGAACATCAACTGTCCTTACAAAGAAAGTCTCGTTGTGGGGTTACAAATTATGTGGGTTGAGGGTGCGGGGGCGTAGCCCCCGCGGTACGGTACAGGGTTGATTTTGTAATTATGTACCAGGGTTTTCTATTATAAATAGAGATGTAACCTAGACCTAAAATATCATTAAATAAAATTCTAGCGCCGCCTAGGCACCGAGGACGTAAGCACATTGCCGAACCTCGTAAAATTCTCGTGTTCTTTCGTTTTCTTTACCCGTTTTCGTCAACAAGATTTAAAATAAATAAATTCAGATTTTCACTTTAAAACTTTAACTAAGAATGTCTAATTATTTCCAGTTTCATTTTATTTTTATTATATATAAATACAAGATTTCAGTTATATTGAGAATGGATTATGGAAATAATTTGTTAAGAAGTGGCATGAATATTTCACGATAGTTAAAACATTTTCATTTCCAATTATCATTCAATTAATTTAATTTAATTAGAGAATAATAATAAAAAATAGTTTGTGAGATGCCATTTTAACGTATGCATGACAACTTGTTCTACCTATCCCTTTCTCGAATAATATATGAGAATTTCGTAACTGATGTTGTCTTTTTTGAGACGGCCATAAATCGAAGAGGAACGGCCGGCGTGCCTACGTCCGTACTAATAATTTGGAAAAAAGTTTAGAAATCAAGAAAACCATCGACTCAAATATAAAAATAAAAAATCAATCCAATTTTGCGCGTCTCCGATCGCGCGACTTCGCTATATCGCACGGTTCCGATTGAAATTGCGCGTTTCCGATCGCAAGACACCGCTATGTCGCGCGGTACTTCAAAGTTCAGGGCGAGCCTGTTGCTTTTGCCTTTCTATAAATAGACCATTTGTGGTCCAAAAAAAATAAAAAAAAAATTACGGAAGACCATCGAGTTGCTCAAAGAGATAGGTAGAAGCCATGACCGGGAAACAGCAGGTTGAGCGGAAGGTTACCGGAAAGGAACACCTGAGGCTGAATCAAGGGAAGCTTCTGGTACTTAAATTATTAATTTCCTTTGAGTTATTTTTTCTTCCTGAAATTCTTATTACGCGTTGTTTTTGCTTTTGTTTTATAATTTAAAGAAGAAGGAGATGAAAAGATTACAAGTGTTTAAAGGAAGGGGAAAGGAGATGAAGGCTGTGCAAGCAGAGCTGACTGGTGTAATGGACCAAAATCTGCTGCAACTTAAATTGAACCCAAACCCACAAAATCTTCAAGCGCTGCAACGCACCGGTCACCAGCTCCGAGAAGTCAACAGGAGGGCCATACTGTGGGATGCCAAGGTCAACGATTACCTTAAGGGTCTGGTCGATGAATTCCAGCAGGCTGATAACCAAGGCAACGCCCCTCCATCTGGTATGTGCAAAAGCAGAAGCTGTTCATAAAGTTGAAATTTTAATGGATCCGTGGTAACCTGCGGAAATTAGTTTGAAATTTTTATGGATCCGTGGTATGTGGAATTTTTTAACGATTGCCCTTTCATGTTTGATAGCTTTTGTATTGATAGTCTAAATCTAACAGGAGATGGGGTTTGGATGTTCTTTTAGTAGGGTATTTTGTTTTTGCCTCCAGGTGTTTCATCTGATATATATATATATATATATGACTTGAAAGGGTCTGTTATCTTAATCCTGTAGGTATCTAAGGACGAAGTGGACTATTTGAGCTGCTTCTTCATATGGGGCAGGCGTTTCATCCTGTTTGTGTGTATCTGTGTACTTTTTGTCTAATTATCATGCTATGTGTTGATGATGATTCTGTGTTTGAACCTTTTCATTATAAATGTGTTGTACTATAATGGCATTGGTGGTTAAGATTCTATGTTTTAGCATGTGTTTTGTTTCCTTATCTGGATATAAAGCTCGATTGAAGGGGCTGGAGGTGTTTATGGGATTTTCCTTTGGCATCATAATCCCTATTATCAGGAGTATGCGTACTATTTTCTGGGTTTGAAGATCTTATTTACAGGGCCAACTTCCTTCATTGAAGATGCGATTTGATAGCATTTAGCTGGGGAATCTTTTAGTACATTACTATAACTTGTTTTACTCATTGATTGTAACCTTCAATAGAAAAAGTAAAAGAGTACTTGAAGAGGGTTCATTAAGTATGATATACTAATGCTGTAATGGTCCCATGGGATTGTAATTACTGATTGTAGTATTGATTTATTAGTGGATTCTATCTTTGGACAAAGTCCCGCAGAGGTAGGTGAATTCACCGAACTGCGTAAACAATCCGTATGTGCATTTATACATTCTATTCTTAAAGTACGAATTCTGATTGGCAACTTCTCCAGCACATAGATTCCTAAGAAGCTTCATAGATTGCATGACATATTCACTACCTGATGCATGATGGATAAGCTTCAAGACCGTCACGAGGATTTTCGTTAAAGCAAGATCTGCAGGTGTTATACCTCCTTCGTACTTCCTCTGCAGATTTTACCTCCGCAGTTAATCTTTCGCCTATCAAGTCTTTTAACTTGAATTTTGATTGATACACATGATATTACGAGTTGTTTAAATCTATTATATGAGAGTCGGATCTATTTAGTATATCATTCTACAAATAGTTATCATCACCTTAACTTGATGCCAACACTAAAATTTGTATATGTGTCACCATGCAAGGCTAGAAGGAGAATCTTTTTCCTCCTCTCGTAATCAGCCTCCCTCATTGCTCATCATCTTCTTCAAATTAATAACTCTCTACTTTCTTCATAGAACCACAACCTACGACTTTCCGGCCAAAAAAAAAACCGTTAAACACCACTGTAATCTTATTGTTGTCATCAACAAACAACAATCCTAGATGCTTTTATAAGAATCTCAAGGACTTGTTGTAGCGAAGATGAATTTGATGCTCAAAGTAAAGGCTGTAAAACATCCTCCGGATCGTTGAACTCCGGCAATGGTACTCCAACCGTTGTTAAACATAAGATTCCTGAACTCAAATACATGATAAGGCAATTATCTGCAGTAAAGGGACATGAAAATCATTTCGCAACCGCAATGCAAAACAAGCATATTTGATGTCAGTGTTACGGCCAATCAGTTTCAAAGTGACATATTCAATACTATTCACGCAACAACTGAAACTCTTCTAAGAAGTAACTCAACAAAAAATGGCTTCAAAAACTATGTAATAAAATAAATAAAAAATAAACAGGAAAGAAGAAGAAGACCTTAAATTACAAATCTTAACTTTGGTTTATAAAGTAAGACCGGTTATGATTCTGGCAAAACAAATGTACAATCAAATTCCGTGTTCAAATCAATAGGAGAACTATAACGTTGAATTTATCGATGTAAGATTCGACAATAAAAATTTAACTTCAGAATATTATAGATAATTTTATCATTATTTTTTATAAAAATATATTAATAAATACAACTAACTTAATAATAAAATTGAGATTCAATCTAAATTAATTAAATACAAAAAATAAGAAATCGGGCGAGGCAACAAAGGTGTACATAAAAAAGTAACTTGTCCTCATCTTAAACAACCAACAAATAAAATAAAATAAAAGCATGTAGCGTGCAAGTAAGCAGCCAAACATAAATAATAATTAAACATATAAATATTGTCTTATTCTCCTAGTTTGTCTCTTTATTTAATATTTTTGGAAATAATAATATTATAGTTGGGTACATTGCGTGGTCTGCTTTTATGACTGTAATAGACTCCATTTTGTCTAATTGTTATTGGCCAAACTGAAGAAAAAACAACAACAACAAATATCGACAAGAAGCGATCCACGATAGATAAGATTCTTTCATTTTTTTTAAAAAATTTATAAAAAAACCTTAAACCCTTAAAATCTGTCTTTCTAATCTCATTATCAACCGTTGTAAATTATCACCCATCATCTTCGACATCGAATAGTCATCTAAAATATTAATGTCCTTAACATTTATGGTAAAATGTCTAATAATAATAAAATTAATAGGAAAAAAATAACTAAATCGGTAGCGTTTTATCAAATTCGGTAAAGTGCCCAATAATAATAAAACCGATAGAAATAATAATGTTTCTGATAATTTTTATTGATTTTGTTAAAAATAATAATAAAATCGATAACGCCTTTTTTTAGCCGTATATTAAGGCTGTCGCACGTGATCATTTCCCGGGGAAGGGGACTGGAGAATTTTTTTCTAATATAAAATGTTTTTAAAATTATTATTTTTTTAAAAAAATAAATATTTTTTTAAAATATATCAACATGACACGTGTTATTTAACGGATTTTTTTAACAATTGCTACTGTATAAACATTTAAAAATGTAACAGAAAAACGTTAGACACCTATATTAAACGAAAAATTCTTTAAACATATATTGTTAACAAATGACATAACTTGAACACTTATTTTTATATTAAACCATAAAGCAATTAAATTTACTTTATGATAACAATATTTCAATAGAACTCTGGTTGTAACCATGATAAGATGTAATATCTAAATTTGAGATCAGATATCTATTTTGGGTTGCATTATATATTAGTTTATTTTAAATATAGATATTTGAAGTATTCAAATTATTTTAATTAAAACATATATTTAAGATATTTATAATTTTTATTTAAGCATTTAAAATATTGTTTTGTCAAAATAAGTATTTAAAGTATATCCTCCATTTTATTTAGATACTTCAAAATTAGCATATAACATTAATTAAAAAATATTCTAAATACCTAAATAGAAAATGATAGGATATATAGTATGTATCTATTTTGACAAAAAAAAAGACATTTAGATAAAAAAAATGTGAACAATGTTTATTTGGAGGAAGAAATACTGTAAATTTTCAATAAAGAATTAAACATACTTTGAATATTTAGATGAAAAGTTGATATAAATTTTGAAAAAGGAATTGTATATTTAAATAAAAAAAATATCTCAAATATGTATTTTAATAAAAAACACTTTAAATGTTTAAATAAAAATATAACATATTTAGCTAATTTTAAATAATGTCTAAAATATTTAATCATAAAGTTTCTTTTGACGGATTTTCCTCCCTACATTATTGTTCAATACGATGTTGAAAATTAGATGGATAGTGGCTCACTCCCAACTAATCATTAGTTGTGAGCTAATCAGCTAAGTTTATACGTAAATATGTAAAAGACTGCTATGAATATTTTATTAGTTTAATTATTTGGTATTAGATTATGTTTCAATTATTAATGTAAACGAAAAAAAATGTTTTATGTTATATATTTTTATGTTTTTATGTTATTTGGTTTTAGACCGATTCTCGACCGTTAGATATTACTTGTTTCTCGCTTATTTTCTTATATTATCTTTTTTTTTTAGTTTTTAAATAACTTTGTCTTTGGACACATTTCCTCTATTTTTGTGACACATTTTCTTTTATCTTTTGGTACGTTTTCGGTCGTTTAATTATTCTGTTTGTGTTGGATTTGACGATAACTTGACAGATAAAGACAGCGTTTATTTGTTATCATGATAATCTTTCTTGTTTTGAACTCTCGAATTGGATTCAAATACGTGGTTGCGTTCATAGATAGTTTATCATGTCGCTCGACTTTGATATGTGGGTTGTCGATGTTCTTTTAGTAGTTTTCATCCATTTTTGTGGTGCATTTGCAGATGCAGTCATATCTATTATATCTATCTTTTTTCGAGCATTTTGGTTGAGGTTTTAACCATTTCTTTATATATATATATATATATATGTGTGTGTGTGTGTGCGTGTGTGTGTGTGATCCTTATATGATCTCAAGTACATAGTTTCTTGTATTAATGATTATATGAAAATATCCTAATTATTCGTTTACAGTTACGATTATAGTCCTTATATTATCCTTATATAATCTTAAGTGACTATTTATGCAGTTTATATGTGAAAAATATTAATAAAGTGATAAATAATTTTTATATTAATTTTTAATAAATATGTGTTATATCTTTTTAATGAGTGAATTTTTTAATTAGTGTATTTAAATATTATAATAACATTTAATATAATTTTAAAAAAGTAATCATAAAATTAATATATAGTAATTTATAAAATTGTTTTATGTAGTATATAGTTACAAGATTTAATATGACATAATATCAAAAAGATGCTCTTAACGTTTGATTAAAGAATAATTTTGATTTTGATTTTATTTTAACATCATGGTCCTTAACATTTCATCTTAGGGTAAAAATGTGTATAAAATATGACTAAATAATCACTTTAGCTTCTTCTTTTTTTGAGCATTTTGACCCATTTCTTTTTATTTAAGGGGAAAACTTCTATTTTAGACCGTTGATTGTCGACTAACGAGTTTGCTGGGATTTTCGGAAGCTCGAATCGACAACCAGAACGGTTTGCAAAGAGGGGTCGGAACGGTTTTGTGTTTAGGGAGTAAGGAGATTGAAAGATAGAGAATTGCACAGCGATTTATAGTGGTTCGACTTTCTCAACCAAATTATACGTCCACTACCTTAGCTCCTCACCAAGGATTTTCCAACAAGTTCACTAATTTGTTCTTTCTTTTAAGGATAAAGAGTAACCTTACAAACTTCCTAGTTTTTCCGAACTAAACTAGAACTTTTCCCTAGCTTTTACACGGGATTAGCTATAACATTTCCCCTTTACAAAAGGATAAGAAATGTAAACAAGAAAACCTCTCTAAGGTAGGTGTTTACAAGAATTAAACTCACAAGAACAAAATATTTACAAGCGAAAGATGAAATAAGAATGATAAACTCTTCTCTTGTGCTTGATTGCTTGGATGGTTGTTCTCTTACTTCTTCAAGTGTCCTTAGCTTGTATTTATAGCTTGGAATGTGTTTGAAGTCGTATATAGTCGTTGGGGATGTTTTGGAGCCGTTTGGGGATGAGAATCAATTAATAAAACAGCTTGGAGCATGGGGGGAATCGGTACCCCTCATAGGGAATCGATTCCCTATGTGTAAAATTCAAATATTTCGACCGTTAAACAGGGGGAATCGGTTCCCTTCGAGCATTCTGTTTTTCTCGGAGCCAAACCATTTAGGGGGAATCGGTTCCCTCTGGACAATCTATAATTTTTGGCTTTGAAACGGTTCGAAATACTTTGTAAAATTGTTTTGAAATTATTTTAAGATTAAAACTTAATTCTACACTTGAGTAAGGATTAAAAATGACATTTGAAAGATTTGAAGTAATATTTTGATATTCGAATAATTATATCGAATATACTTAGAAAATCTTTTGGAAAATCTTAAAATTCATTTAACTTAATTTGTTATATCGAAATATCAAAATATTTTCAACAATCTCCCCCTTTTTGATATAACAAAACATTTTAGTAATTTTAAGATTTTGAAATCAAGTTTGAAATTACTCCCCCTTACTCTAACACTTCTCCCCCTTTTTGTTAGATAAAAAATAATTCAATCTTTGAAGTTCAAAATAACTTTGGAGAGTAAGTAGTAAATTTGACATTTTAAAAATCATTTGAAAAAACAAAGCTCCCTCGAATAAATACATTCCAAATAAAATTATGCTTTTAGGATCTTGACACTTAAACAAATTTTAATTTCAACAAAGAATAACAAACATGTTAGTAACACAAGAAATTCAATGTATCAAAGTCTAAAATAATTTATGCAATACCAATTGTTGAATTTAAGATCATATGCATAAAGTTTTCCAAAAAAAAATGTTATGCATAAAAAAAATTGATATCAATTGTTAGAGATATATCATTTTCATTTAAACCACATGCATAAACATTTAAATTTAGGTCAAAAATTAAAATTTGTAAAATCAAAGTATTTGAAAATTTTGATATCAATTGTTAGAGAGATATCATTTGCATTAAAACCAATTTTGACCAAAATTTTATTATGATGAACTAAAAATTATAAAAAATCATTAAAATTTTAAAATGTTCATCACAACCAATTTTTTTTAACATACATGAGATTAAAAACAATGCATAATCATTTAAAATCAAAACTCATGCATGCTTAAAATCAAATGAGCAACCAAATAACCAAAATTAAAAGCATTAAGTTTAGAGGTTACCCATCCATTTTTCATGTGTGGCTAGAGCATCTTGAATATCATCACTTTCATCACCATTGCTCTCATACACCTTCAAGAGACATTTAAGTAGATTTTGGTATCCAAATTACTTTGGACCCTTGGATGTTAGTTTCAATGCCCCTTGTTCCTTTCGAAATTCATACTTGTCTAATTTTAAAACGTTTTCCTTTCTTCAAAGGACAAGTATGTTCCTTGTGACCATGATAATGACAATGTGAGCATATTGTCATTATTGAACTAAATGAATTATTTAAAATGATTTCTTTTTCTTTTGTTAAGCATTCATTCTTAACTTTTAAATCAAAATTTTCTTTTTCAAAACTTTCAATTTTATTTTGAAAGCTCTAAATCATTTTCAAAATTTCATTTGGCTTTCAAAATATATTTTGTTTTCTAAAGAAAATCGTTTTCGATTTTAAATTTTGAAATAATTTTCTTATATTTGGAGTTCATGGTCTCAAACTTCGAATATAACCTATTAAAAACATCTTGTAACTAATCAAACGTATATGAATTAAATTCAATTGAGTTAGAAGATACCTCGGGCACTTGAACATGAAGAAACCCCTTCATAGATTTCATGACCAAATGCACAAAACAACATGTGCATGGCCTTGGCATTAATTTGAGCTTTCTTCCGTTCTTTGTCACTCATATTCTTTGGAGGAGAGTAGCCGTTCTCGATTATCTCCCATGCATCAAGATCATTGGATTGGATTAATACCTTCATTAATTTTTCCAATGATAGTGACTCCATTGAAGTATGGAGTTTTTGTCGGTTGGTAAGGAGTCTTCCATGTGGAACGAGCCGGCGGGGAAGCCATCTTCTCGGTTGTGTCGGGAATTGGTAGAGCTTCTTCTAGGATCGTCTCAAAGTGGTTAAACCTTCTTAACGAGTTAGGCTCTGATACCAATGTTGGGATTTTCTGAAGCTCGAATCGACAACCGGAACGGTTTGCAAAGAGGGTCGAAACGGTTTTGTGTTTAGGGAGTAAGGAGAGATGAAAGATAGAGAATTGCACATCGATTTATAGTGGTTCGACTTTCTCAACCAATCAGTTCCAACTACCTTAGCTCCTCACAAGGATTTTCTAACAATTTCACTAATTTGTTATTCTTGAGGATAAAGAGTAACCTTACAAAACCCTCAAGAATATACCCAAATTCTGAGACAACTCTCCCAAAGAGAATAATACAAATTTTGCAAACTTACAAGAAAATCCTCACAAGGCAAGATGTTTGCACAATTATAGAACAAAGAAAGAACACTCAAGAATAATTCAATTGAGCACAATAAGTGTTATTGAAAGTAAAAATGAATATTAAATGAAGTAGGCTTGAAAAGGATCGTCTCAAAGTGGTTAAACCTTCTTAACGAGTTAGGCTCTGATACCAATTGTTGGGATTTTCTGAAGCTCGAATCGACAACCGGAACGGTTTGCAAAGAGGGGTCGAAACGGTTTTGTGTTTAGGGAGTAAGGAGATTGAAAGATAGAGAATTGCACATCGATTTATAGTGGTTCGACTTTCTCAACCAAAGTCTACGTCCACTACCTTAGCTCCTCACCAAGGATTTTCTAACAATTTCACTAATTTGTTATTTCTTTTGAGGATAAAGAGTAACCTTACAAAACCCTCAAGAATTATACCCCAAATTCTTGAGAACACTCTCTCCCAAAGAGAATAATACAAATTTTGCAAACTTACAAGAAAATCCTCACAAGGCAAGATGTTTGCACAATTATAGAACAAAGAAAGAACACTCAAGAATAATTCAATTGAGCACAATAAGTGTTATTGAAAGTAAAAATGAATATTAAATGAAGTAGGCTTGAAAATGCTCAAACTTGAGGTTTGATGCTTTCTCTTTGATTCTCTCTTGATTGTTGTTGATTGTTGTTTCTTGTTATTGATCAATGGCTTCTAAGCTTGTTTAAATACTCCTTCAATTGATTCTGAGCGTTGGGGATGATTAGTGGAGTCAATGGAGCCGTTTAAGTGTGAAAACTATTAATAAAACAACTTGGAGCGTGGGGGGAATCGGTACCCTCTCATAGGGAATCGATTCCCTATGTGTAAAATTCAAATATTTCAACCGTTAAACAGGGGGAATCGATTCCCTCCGAGCATTATGTTTTTCTCAGAACCAAACCATTCAGGGGTGAATTGGTATCCCCTTTAGGGGGAAATCGGTTGGACAATCTGGATTTTTTTGGCTTTGAAACGGTTTAAAATATTTTGTAAAATTGTTTTAAAATTATTTTAAGATTAAAACTTAATTTTACACTTGAGTAAGGATTAAAAATGACATTTGAAATATTTGGAGTAATATTTTGATATTCGAATAATTATATCGAATATACTTAAAAAAAAATTAGAAAATCTTAAAATTCATTTAACTTAATTTGTTATATCGAAATATCAAAATATTTTCAACAGAGTTCCATTTATAGAAAGTTCATTTTGCTCCAAAATGAAATGTTGACAGTAAAAATATACTAAAAATAAAAGTTAATAACTATTCAATCAAATATTAAAAGTGTTTTTGTCATTATATTTTTTAATATACTGATACGTTATATGACATATTTTATTAACATTAATCCTATATCATAATTTATTTGAATTATTTTATGTATAGTATTCATATCATAGAGTTAAATTCTATTTATTTCATATCATTATTTAATTTAAAAATAATATAATAAAATGAAAAAGAAGCCAGGTCATCCTCGCACTCTCCCTTCTATCCAACCATCTGCGGTCGCCTCTCTTAGCTGTTCTTACTGTAGGCATGGCCCACTTAAGATATTTTTAACTTAAGAAATTGGCTAAATTATAGGGACATAATATTACAAAATTAATTAATCATATTTAATTTTATTCCATTCAACTATATATTATTATATTAGTACAAAAATATACTTTAATATTTAATTAATAATATATATATATATATATATATTAGTTTTTCATTTTTAAAATTTCATATATATTCTCCTAGTATAAATTATTTTGATGGTTTAGTAATCATATTTCATAGTATAACTTAGTAATACAACAAAGTTATCTTTCTCTCTCCCTGTCTGAAGTCTTTCTCTTCATTTCGACATTTCCTATTGGTTTCCTCTTCACAAATCAAAAACTTTTCCTTCTGCTTGTTCATCGGCATCTTAGAGATTTCACTTTTTTAAAAATGCCTGCTTGGTGGGTTAAAAAGTCGAGTAAGAACAAAGAAGAGAGTCAAAATCGGAGTACACAGGGCACCAGCATCGGAGTAATCAAGCTTTCGCCTAACAAAACAGATGTTGTTTCTGCTGCTGGTGTTTCCCCCGGCGGCGGATCTTCTGGTAAACTGAAAGCAGCAGCAGCAGCCGATGACAAGAGCCACAATAACAACAACTACTCAAAGAGCTTTGATAGTGGAGGAGGGTTCGTTTTAACCTCCGGAAATTCGCCACGTGCCAGCAAGGACTTCAGCGTCGTTGTTGGGTCATCCGGATTTTCGGGTTTCGATTCGGATTCAGGGGAAAAAATAGGGATTCCTTTGCCTACGCCATCTGTCTCATCGATGCAAAGCGATCATGTTGTCGGGTTAGGATCCGGGTCGCCTTCGGTTTCAAGTGATAGCTCTTGTGACGATAGTCATATTGCAAATGATCCGGGCCAGTTCATCGCATACAGGTTCTTGTTTTCCCTTACATGTAACGGAATCTGAGTATTGAAAGATTAAAAGTTTTTCAATATTGAATTTCCGAATTAATATTAGGACAGCTACTGATTTTTTTTATATATAAAGCAGTTGTTGATTAAGTAAAAAAATATATAAATTTTCTGTCTTTTCCTGGTGTCAGAGTTTGACTTCTTCTCCATCTTCTTTTTTTCTCTTTTTAATAATTTTATCAATATATCCATTTAGGTCTGCTATTGGTATATCAATACTTTTCAGCTTTTGGAACTGAAAATTCCTCTTATTTTTTGCTGTCAGAGACTTGTTTACTTTACAGATAGAAAACAAGATGCTAGTTTTCTTTACATTTTGGTATATGACTGTTAAAACAATTTTCGCCAAAGGGTCAAACTTTAACTCTTAAAAATGAATCACTATTGCATGTTCAGATTGAATGCAATTCTTGACTGATATAGTGTTGGATTCTTACATGTATAAGTAACATACCATATGCCTGCAATGAGCTAAATATTCAAAATTGTCGTATGGTATTGGATTCATTACACTCAAAATGAAGCATTTTGTAATGATTTTCAGCGAGCTGATATTAACTGAACTCCAGGTCATATATTGATCCCAGAGGCCAAGGTGAAATTAATGCAAGGTCGAGAAGCCCCGGTCCACGGGCGAAAGGGCCTACCAGCCCGACATCGCCTCTTCATCATCAACTGTCTGCAGTGAGTATAGATTCCACGACAGGGAGAAAGGAAGATGGGAAATCCGTGGGTCACAAGTTACCTCTTCCACCGGGTTCTCCTACTAGTCCCTCTGCTTCCTTGCCTAGCATTAGCACAAGAGCTTGTGGAGTGAGTGAAAATTCACATTGTACTCTATCAAAATGGCGAAAAGGTAGACTATTAGGGAAGGGAACTTTCGGGCACGTTTACCTTGGATTTAATAGGTAGGGCTTGCTTTCTGTATCCGTTAATCATCACACGCTGGCTGCGAGTCATAAAATAGTTTAGATTTACCAGTCACAGAAACTAGCTGTTATCTTGCATTCATGGTACCAATTCTGCTAGTATGCAAGATCAACGGTATTTTTTTAGTTTTTTCCCATTGTACTTGTCTAAGTATTGTGCATCCACGTTGACAGTGAAAGTGGGCAGATGTGTGCAATAAAAGAAGTCAGGCTTGTCTCTGATGACCGGACATCAAAAGAAAGCCTAAAGAAACTGAACCAGGTATCTCAGTTTAGACTTCACTTTCCTTTTTTTTACCGGTTGATAATGAGATCATTTACGAGTTGCCACATTTGAGTGTCTGGTTTTCTAATTGTTTTTAATATCAACAGGAGATTAATTTGCTGAGTCAGCTATCTCATCCAAACATTGTACGATACTATGGAAGCGAACCGGTATGGTTCTTTTATTCTGTTTTAGAATACATGACATGCAAATGACCTCTTACATTATGAAATGAACACAAAGGGGAGTGGAGAATGATAATTGAAACCCTTCTCCAAATACCAGTTAATTGTAACTTGCTTCTTAATAAAATATAATTTGCCATTTTCAGGGTGAAGAGGCGCTCTCAGTCTACTTGGAATATGTCTCTGGTGGTTCAATCCACAAATTGCTTCAAGAGTATGGTGCCTTCAAGGAACCTGTTATTCAAAACTATACAAAACAAATTCTTTCCGGGCTTGCTTACTTGCATGGAAGAAATACAGTGCACAGGTACTTAGATGGTTCGTTTTCTGTACCGTGGAAATTTAGCTTCGGCTTTCGTATGTTTTAATGCTTTGGGTTTTGTGTTTCAGAGACATAAAAGGAGCGAACATATTAGTAGATCCTAATGGAGAAATCAAGTTGGCAGACTTTGGCATGGCAAAACATGTATGTTACCTTATCCCATCTTGGGAATGATGGGCTGAATTCTAGAATACTGAAACTTCAGTTTCTCTAGAAAATAGGTGGTGACCAAGAGTAATAAGTATCTACTAAATGATATTTTGATGTGATGCATCTTTTGGTTGTAAAGAAAACAAAGATTAAAGTGAAACAGTCAATTTAAATATATGATCCTTTAGACAATCACTTTAACTCCAGTTTTTCTGCAAGGTTACAATTTTTTCCTTTCTTCTTATCAGACCTTTAAAGAATTGACCGTAGTCTTGAGATGGAAAATCTAGACTTTAAGGTCAATCTAACACATAAGGAACCTATGTAAAGACCCACAAAAATCTAACAAATAAAAAACCTGATAAAACCTGACAATGGACAGTGATCTTGTCACCCTACTTAAGTTGTATCCCTAGTCAATGAGGGAAACAAACCCCTTATTCTTTTTATTTCTGATCCAGATAACAGCTTGTGGTGCAATGCTTTCGTTCAAGGGAAGTCCTTACTGGATGGCACCCGAGGTATTGCTTTTTTCATGTTTGTTCAATTATATGATCACAGTATCGCACCTCCTTTTTCACTTTTAGAACTATTAATGTCAATTTCGATGCTAATTATCTTTCCCATTCGGTGACCCCAGTTCTCCATTTTATGGCCACTTATGTGTATATTATTCTGATTTCAGGTTGTAATGAATACAAATGGCTACAACCTTGCAGTGGATATCTGGAGCTTGGGCTGCACTATACTTGAAATGGCAACATCAAAACCACCATGGAATCAGTATGAAGGGGTGCGACATTTTAGTTCTTTAACATCTATTGGATAATGTCTTTTTCTGGTTGGCCCTGAACTGTTTAGGAACTAGGATTAATGCTTCTGTTATTTCTGAATTCAACAGGTGGCTGCAATATTTAAAATAGGAAACAGTAAAGATATGCCAGAGATTCCTGATCACCTTTCTAGTGAAGCAAAAAGTTTCATAAGGCTTTGCTTGCAAAGAGAACCGTCAACTCGTCCTACAGCCTTACAACTGCTAGATCACCCTTTCATTCATGATCAAGCAACAACAAGAGTTGCTAACATCAGCATAACCAAGGATTCATTTCCTTACACTTTTGATGGAAGCCGCACTCCGGTACCTTTATCAATACAAAATACAATTACAATACTACTCGTTTTACTATTTTTATAATCTCTATCTCTAAACTCTCTTTCTCTAATTCACACTTTTAATACCTTTTTCCCTTTTTTTCACACATAATATTAAATAATATAAATATCTAGATTATGGATATTCCTAAACATCTACTCTTTTTATATTAATCTAGAATATTCTTAAAATATATCTCTTAAATAATAATTATATATTTATCTAGAAGTTGCATTAGATTTCAACAAACTTCATCTTCTGTTCTAAACACATCAATCTTCAATGCAATGTCTTTGCTAGTTTTAGCCTCTTTTTATGATGCTTCATGCCAGATTTTTTGTGAAATTAATATTCCTTCCTTTTATCCCTTTTCGAGTAGCAGCCATACCTTTATCTTGTTTCGCACCATTTAAGCTTGTATATATTAATGAACATATGTGCTTGAAGTTTGCTTATCAGTAACTAAAAGCCGAGTTTATGTTAATCTCTGTTATATTTAAATTTGTGAGCAGCCCATGTCAGAAATGCTGTCCAATAGGAGTAATATTGATGGAGATTATGAGACAAGGGGAATGACTACAACTTCAAAAGCTTTAAGGAGTCTAAGGTACTAACGATATCGTCTTTCGTTTCTGCACTCAAAATATATGGCATGAAGTTCTAAAGTAACTTTGCCTGTCTCATATTCATATGCACAGAGATAATGCAAGAGCAATCACATCTTTGCCCGTGTCTCCTTGTTCAAGTCCGTTAAGGCATGGTAAAGCCCACAAGAGTGCTTTTCTTTCTCCTCCCCATCCGGCTTATCAGTTTGTAGGACAGAGCAGCTACAACTTGGCTGATTTCTCTGTAAATGCTTCAAGACCAAATCAAAAATACACAATGGATCCCTGGTTTCAAGGCACCCCACCAAGAACAAGACCCATTTGAGATATTGTAAATAGTGACCGGATAAATATCCTTTTTCCGCTCCATCTAAATGTCTAACGAAATTGAGTATATTGCTTTGACAGAAGGATCCCCCCTCCCTATTCTGTTTAATTTGGCCACCCATCCTTCTAGCCAACTATTTGAAGAGGGAACATTCGGGGACAATGGGAGTTTTGTTGCAGGGGAAAGATAAACAATCTCTGAAACTTCGATCTTGTAACACACTCGTTGATTTTTCTATATGGAAGGTGGCCCTCAGTCTGTTAACATTACTGTTTTATAAAACTTAATACCATCTCTTTGTCATCAACTGATTGAAAAGGCAATTATGTTACGTCATACCATCTCATTTTAGCTGCAGACTGGTGCTTCATTTTGAATCAGGGAGAAGGGTGACCCCCGTTTCCATTGTACTTTCATATGAAGCCCGAGTGAGTCCGATGAACTTATAAGTTCGGGAAAAATGTGATTTCATCAATGCATGTATCAACAATCATTTTTGCAAACACCAAAAAGTTCTTAACAAATATCTGATCAAGTGTACATAGGAAGAACATGGTTTGATCATGTCTGCGATTATTACAACAGGACCGTACATGGTTCCTAACAAATACGAAGACACTTAAGCTTTGTTTGGTTAGATACAGTATGCATTCTTCAACCACTCTTCTAATTCCATTTGCTGGAAAAAATCATCTTATGCAACGGCGTATAACAAAGTTTATAATTGAGCTACAAGGAGTTCATTCCAGGTATCAGGAATGCCAGGCAGACACCAATGCAAGCAATCATGGTAAGCAGAGGTACTGAAAATATGGTACTGGGATTTGTGAGCCTCGTCTCTTAGTTCAGAAAGAGCAGTTATGTCCAAAATCTTGGCTCTTGTGCCTTTAACTGCTGTTTCAACAATTTTGTCACTTGATCCTTCTTGAAACACTCTACTCCCTCTTGTCAATGGAATAGTATTATTGCAAAATCCGGTTTTGTCTAAATGCCTCGGTGACCTGGTCCGAAAGAAAGCTTTTAGGCCCGGATGTAACGGGAGTTGCGAATCAAGCCACTTCACAATCCTATGAACCGTGTAGTTCTTCACATTCATCATGTCCATGAGTATTCCTTCTTTGATAGGCTTCCGGTTTACGTGCATTATCCAGCAATTCGCTATGAATTTTGCTTTAATCCAGTGTTGTGCTGTATTCAGAACCAACACATGAAAACGGTGTAGGAACTTGGTCAAGAAACTTGGCACACGGTCCAAATGCAGGGCGAGACTTGAATCTGGATCGGAGTTGTTAATTCGTTCCAATCTGCAAAGTGTTGAAGACCAATAAAATAAAATGGTGGTATTAGTGGATGGGAACCGGTAAGCCCATCCATCCAGACGAATGCCTTTGTAACGTTTGATAAATCCGTATTCGCTTCCGACATCTTCAACATCAGGGCTGTCTTCCCCACCGGTGGCCATACACATCAAGGAATGGAATTATTGCCTCCCTAATGAATCACCTATAAATGCAATCGTTTTGTCCTGCATTCTGAAATGGAATCATTGTAAGCAAGCAGAATGTGAATGTTGTCATGTTTAGGACTTACGTGAATAAAATGTTCTTACTTGCTTAAGAAGCTAAACCGCTCAAATTCTGGCATTTGACAATTTATTGGTTCCCAGCGGTATCCTTCATAGGAAAAATCTGTTCGCTGGGTTAGTCGACATGCCCAGACATTTGGTAACCACCGTTTGCAACTAAACCCGGAATACAACGGGCGCCGGCTGTCTGCAACCCATTTACCCTTTGCATAGTTACATTCTGCAAGAAAGACAGTAGCATTAATATGCTTGCATAACTTCAATATGGTCCTCTCCCAGACTTCAGTATGACATTACCTTGCGACTTGGACTCGGATGAATTTGTAATGTTCTCCACATCACTATCGTCCTTACTAGACGGAGACGGTATTGCTGGATTTATCGGTAGAGGAGGATCGAAATTCGGTTCTTCATCCTTTGTTTCTTCAGTCATGATTGCATCAGAATTGTTCACCTCAAATGTACCCTCCGGTTCCGGGTCCCTAGACATAGATACATCATCTGGGGTAACCAGAGAGAGGGACAATTTAATTCAAGATATAAGACTAAAGAGACTCGATGAACCGACCCTGAGCTGATGGAGATGGGTCTGTAAACTGATCCTCAGCTGATGAAGGAGACTCGATGAACTGATCTTCACGTGACGGAGAAGATTCCGTAAACCGATATTGCTCCGACTGAGAAGATTCAGTAAAAGGATCTTGAGATGAAGGCATAGTACTAGAGATTGAGGAACCTTGTCTCCCAATTCGTACTAAAGCGGCCATCAAAATTAGCACGATGAGCACCATATAGATATGCTTCCATCCCAAGCTATGAGTGGTTCTTGTTTTCATCTCTGCTGATGCACTGCAAAGCACAAGACATGTCAAATATATGTCATAACTAAAAAATCAAAGAAAAAAACAATATTGTAGAAAATGAGAAAGGTGAATGAACTAGGCACTGGCAGATTGCTTACCTGCTTATAACGACGTCCAGCTTTTTTTTCCCAGGAAAATCCCATGAGTAGGCGCTACATAAATAGGAAAACATAGAGGAAATGTGTGGGATGTGTTTGACAGAGTGAGAAGGAAAGCAAATGCATGTTGTTGAAGCATGAAATGTAAGGGAGAGGCAAATGAACAAGTGTCACTTTCACTGTTGCTTTTGCACATCTGAAACGTGAAACAAACTTCGAAATCGGTACCATCTTCTGAGAGATGGTCAGATTTAGGGACATTAAATTTCAGCTATACAGGTCGGGGTCGTGCCGCTGTCCAATATGGGTTTTATTTACTTCCGTTTCCAACTTTCAAAGAACACCTAACGCAAGAGAAAGCCAGGCTTCTTCATTAGCCATGCTCTCTCCCTTTCCCTCTCTAGACCACAATCATCTGCAGAACATTTAACTCTTTCTACTTGAACATGTTCTTTGATGATCATTTTGTAATAATTTAATAAATTTTAATGATTATAATATATCTATTTAATAATCATTTTAAAAATTTTAAAATTTTAACGATCAAAACTATTATTTAAACATGATTTATTGATCTCTTATGTACATTTCATCATAATATTTCTACAGAAAGCGCATCTAAACTATTTGTTAAATGATCAATTTGAGTTTCTTTTAAAAAGGTTATAAAATGAACTTAAAATTTTATTTTTCTGGGCGGCGAAATTATTGTTTTATATTTCCTTTGGTTTGTTGATGATAAAATATTTTTTTTCTAGACTTTAGTAGTGGAGAAGAATTTAATATTTCACAAGTTTTGAAAATACTATATATTAGAGTGATTTATATCGCTATATATTGTATATCTGGACTCAATAGTGATCATCGGTGGATATTGTATATTAAAGTAATTCAAAAAAAATTTAGTTTTGGGTTTTTTTTATTGAATTTCAAAGTGATTTTGGAAAGATCTAAACTATAGCATGGTAAGCTACGATGAGGCGAGTTTATTGATATCTCGAATAGTTGAAGAAGATAATAGAAAACGACAATTTTCAATACCCACATAATACCTGGATGAAATTAAGAAGAGTTTGTCTTGAGAGAAAAAAAGATAAAAGAAAAATGACGTAAATGATTTATAAATGTCATGTTAAATAAATCAATCTACATCAATTTATGACTGTCACTTTTTTAATTTCTGATTTAAAATTCAAAAGCTTAAAATAAGAACAATTAGTTAGTATAAATTAAAAAAATTAAATTTGATTGATCAAAATAAGAATAAAAAGAAGGTTGAATGATGAAATTTGTAATTGTCCTAAAATTGATAAATAACAGAACGTGAGTAAGGCAAGACAGCAATAAAGAGAAGGTTTCCTTGTGTGGAATGCACGTTCACAACTTATGACTAAAACCATTGGAATTGCTAATTGATCCCATCTAACCACAGCTACGCGATCATCAATGATGTAAACCTAGGGATGGGTATGGGAACCGTACTCGACGGATTTTAACTTAATCCGATCTGATCGAGTTTGATTTTTTTTTAAAAAAAATTAGATTCGGATGATGTTTTTGGATTTAGGGTAGAAAATATCTGACCCGAAAAAATATAATTTTACCTTATATATTTAAGAATAATTATAATAATATCCATTTATATATATATATATTTTTAATTAGGTCACTATTTTTATTGAATAAAAATAATATTTTTATTATTATTTCGGGTCCGATAGGGTTTTTAAATTATATACCAGGTCGAGTTCGAGTTGGATGAAATCTTATTTTAATCTGATCGAATCAGATTTCAGGTGGAGTCCCTCTTGTTCTCGAATCGGGTCGGATTGACTAAAACCCAACCTATACTCATCCCTATGTAAACCCCCATTATACGATGGGCCCCTTCTATTCACAATCTAATCTCTTTTTAATTTTTAATAATAATAATAATAATATATTAGGACTGAAATCATGTAGATTTCGGTGCGTTTCCATCCCCGCACATGGCGATTGGTTGGCACAAGATCTAAAACCTCCACCCACAAACCGACATCTGTTACTTACCAATTTACCCTTTTAATATTCATTCTATATTAAACCTCCTATATTACTCAAATATCCTTTCTATATACCCAATCATCTAAAAAATAGAAAATCTTTATTCTCATTTTAAATTTAAGCTGTTGTATTTATATGATGCGTATACATTGTTGACATATTAAAAAAAAATCTAAACAGTTAATATCTTATAACTATTTCATATTGTATTTTGAAAAAAAAATATAGGTATAGAATAATTTTTTTATATTTTGGTATTCATTTCTTGATTTATATTTAATTTTATTACTTTTTAATATTAAAATATTAATTATTTTCTTAAAAATATAATATATCATACTATTGGCTATTGCTCTAAATAATTGTTAATCATGTGTATATAAATTATAAGAGTTTTATTTTAAATAATAAATAGTAAGAATCTATATAACTCGCATTCATTATCGATGTATAGAATATTTTAGATTAAAAAGTGTTAATAGTCTTAATTTTTTTAGAAAAAAATAATTAAATATATAAATTTCTCTACTCAAAAGTTTATCGATTCAACTTTTTTTACTAACTTTAACTATTAAATATTTTTCTAAATTTCAATATATATGTTTTTAAAAAACTGTAATCTATAAATGTCACATGATAGAATCGTAGTATACCACATGATAATAATATTTTAAAATATATTTACTATTTAATGATTAAAATTAATCAAATAATTTGATTGATTTAATTTTTTAGTTTAAAAATCATTTGATTTGTTTTTTAATTACATATTTAATCGAGTGAAAAAAATTAAAGATTTAATTTAGTTTTTCCTCCAAAAGTTTGAAGGGTTCAAATATTGCTTAAGCCATAGCTTAGTTGACAGGTGATTTACAAATTATCGGTTCATCAAAATTTTAACAATAATATTTGGGTAAAGTATAGTAATGGTCACTGAACTTTTCTTAAGTTTTTATTTAGGTCACTGAACTTTTCTTAAGCTTTCATTTAGGTCACTAAACTTTTCTCAAGCTTTCATTTAGGTCCTCCAACTTTTAAAACTTGCAATACAATCCTCCAATGTAACATCCTAAAATCAAGACTAATGACTAAAATGTAAGTTTTGGAAACTTTGTGCCCAATTTCAAAAAATTGAAAAGTTTAAGGACTTAATTGAGAATTTATTTAAGACGATTGATTGGTAAAGATGAAAAGATTGAAGGGCATAATGGTCATTTGGCAGGAAATGAATTTTTAATTCATTCCCTTGGGTATTATATTTACACGTGGAAGAGAAAAGATGGGAAAAAAATCTAGAGCTTTATCTGTAACACCCCCAACCCGTACCCGACCCGGATACGAGTCCGAGGTGCCACATTGACTTTTCAAACTTGTATATCTATAAAAACTATACGAAACTTTAAACTTTTATTAACACAAAAACCATATTTACATTCATAAAATCATACAATCAAAGATTGGAAATAGACTCATCGCGAGTCTTTTTCCATACACATCACGTACTAATGCATATGCACTCACCTTGGTCTCACTGACTATTAATTATTCCTATGACTTCCTTTCTTTGATCGTATTCTAACTCGATGATCGATCCAAAGCTTGCTCGAGTTTGGAATCTACATAATCATACATGGATCCATATCAGTATTCTAATTGATATATTCTAATTGCTCACTCATTTAGACTAGAAGAAAGGTTGATTATATCATTAATTTAAGGTATGCATCGGTACACTCTGTAGTGCATCGATACATTCCTTAACATGTGCATCGATGCACTAACTATGCATCGATACACAAATCATATTCGATGTTTCTATTTTTAATGGGTGCATCGATACACTTCCTGTGCATCGATACACAAATTACATTCGATGTTTTCATTTTAAGGGGTGCATCGATGCACACTCCCTGTGCATCGATACACACTGAATAATTTCTGGAAATTTTCCCTTGATGTATCGATACACATTGAATGTGTACCGATGCACACTAGCCCAGAATTATATTTTGAGCACGAAAATCACTTACTTTTAGCTCAATTGTACCATATTTCAACCCCTTTCATATCCTTAACTTACATACACCTACTTAAACCAATTAATACTCATTTAACACTTCCTAATCTTCAAAATACAGTCCTCTCCATGGAATTCAAGAATCATACTAAATTTTCTACTTGTTCTAAATTTAATTATATCACTTCATATCTCTTAATTTAACCATTGACAAGTCAAATTTAGCCTCCAATTTAACTTATCAACTCTTCTTCTAAATATCATTTAAAAACTCATTATCTTTAAACTCTCCAAAATCCTCCATCTTATGGTTTTAAGACAATTTAAGCTTTCTTTAAGCTTACTTATCACCTAAGGATCATAAACCAAGTTTGAACTCAACAAATAACCAACAAACATGGAAACTCGTCTCTTTCCTTTGGGTTCCACGGTGAAGAGAAAGAAGAAGAATGAGAGAACTCTAGAAAGCTTCCATTTTTCCT